ACTTGAGTAGGAGGAAGAGCTGTTACTGTTAGGGCTACTTCTTTTAACTTTTCAGGATTGATCTTTATAAGTTCTAAAAGAGGTGTCATTCAAGCACAATCATATTTCTCTATTTATTCAAAGGACGTGTAGAAATCTTGTTTGTATTTTTTTCATTTTTATAACTAAAGGCTCTTAGTTCTTTATTTCCATTCGCTTTGCCTTAGCCTTTTCAATATTATCCAAAGATATTTCTTAAAACCTAATTCATCACTAGAAAAGGATGATAGAGACTCGATTGCAATGTCTGCAGTTTGATTGTCCTGATTCGATTTCTCCAATTGTTCTGAGAATAATTTCATTCTTAATGAAAGTTCATATATGATTTTCTTTGCCTTTTTAATTTGTTTGCCATCCAAGAAAATTCGGTGTTTCGGATCTACATATATTGAACCCAGCAAGGTCTCATAGTCTAGCAAACTAGTTTCTCTTTTCTTTATTGAAGAAATGATTCCTTCTGCAATAAATCCTCCATTTCAGAAAGAACAAACATCCCATTCTTCCATTCTCACCACCTGTCAATTCTTCATATTGCAGCTTTTTTTATGGCTATATACGGTGTAGAAAGAAGAGTTTCCAATTCTGCAAGATCATTCCACAGTCTTTCTGTTAGTGAAACATTAGAATTATCTACTTCTTGTAAAAAAGTTCTTAATTCTAAAAACTCTTTATCATCAAATATGTACTTCCTTATCACGTTGCTTGATCATTAATTGCTCCTTTTCCTGCTCGCTTCCTAAGAATGGCATCAATTTTAGGAGTTCTTGCTGCTATTGCTGCTTACCTAAATTTACCAGTAAGATTTGTAACTAAAATGAATCAGTTTAATTGCTAATGGCAAATATCACATCCATCCTTATATATAAATAAGGATAAATATCCATCCTTTATTTATTAATATGTCAATAAAATAGAAAATAACTATTTATTAATGTATACAGTTTGTAAATAAAAATAATAACTCAGCTTGTCATTAATTTTTTTCAATTCATTTTAATTTAATTTCAAATTCAAACTGTCCAACAAAAACTGGAGTTGAAATCGACCTGTTTTTAGCGACTCCAGCTCCGACACCTTTTACCCCAAAATCTGCCCAATTCCGACTCCACAGCCCTGCATTCTAGGGCCCCCTAAGTCTTCGGGCCCCTATGTGACGGCATTCCCTGCATACTCATATTTACGCCACTGCATATGTAATGCATAAGTAAGCATTGCAAAGAAGGATAACTTTAGAGGCTTCTTTTGATGAATCTATTAATAGTTAGTATTTTCATATGGAATGCTAAATTGATTCAAGAGTCCACATACATGAGTGAAGAAGATGAAGTTTTCTTCTTTGAAAAATATGTAAGAAAGCTCTTTTCTCTGTACCTGAACTGGGAAAATGAAGTCGTAGGTATGAGCCTATTCTTCTCTTTAAGCCTTGAACAAACAATTCTGAATGTTCTTTAGTTAAAGAAAACTAATGGAAATAAATTAAAAATGTATAAAATTAGGCTCATTTATACAGTCAAAAGTCGTTAATTCGGACACCCATAATCCGGATCTCAAAGCTAAAATCATTCTGCGCATGCACCGCATTGACGCATGCGCATAGGCATTTACGCGTGCGCGCAAGACCTTTACGACTGCGCATATGCATCTGCGCAAGCGCAGAATACGTTTTCGCGTGCACATTTAATGTGTAACGGACGGTATAAGCTAAAATTATCTAATTATCTATTTCAGTTAATGTTGATGATTGCGTTGTTCCTTAATCTTCGAATTGGATCCGGCTTATTATTTTTTGCAGACTGTAAGAGCAATTTTATAAAAGTAAACTTGGAACTTTCGATTATTGAATTTGTCAAATTAAGAATTTCCGATGCTAGAGCTGCCAAAGGATCTACAAAGCGAAAGTATGTTTCGATGTCCATCAAACAAAAAAGTGGAGAATTGCTGCAAAAAAATGGATAAAGGCATATCCTTTGTTTCTCTAACCATTCCGAAATCTGTTTATCAATTTCACTTGCTGCTCTGCGTGGGGGTAGGGGGGAAACGTCGCGGCGCGCAATGAACTGGAAGTTGATCTGTCAGCACTAATCCTTATCTTCAGGGCAGATGTTTTTATTTTATTCGGCTTATAATTCCTTATTACATGTAGTATTTTATCTCGATGTACTCCGTCTTTGATATGATTTAAATCAAATTCCTCGTCATTATAAATATCACGAATACAAATCAAATACACTCATCTCCATAAATTAAGGATAATGCAAAAGCAGGCAAAGGAAGAGTTAGAAGCAAAACAAATTTGACTTATTTGTAAAGCTTATTTATTAAACAAAAGGTAAAGAGCAAAAAAAAAAAAAAGATGCTATATGTTTGATATTATTAAAAAAATTAGCGATTTTTTTCTCCCTGGAGCAAATCACAAAAAAAACCTACTTACAAAAAATCAATATGACATGGTTAGTATGATTGTTAATACATTGTACGTTTCCCAGACGATGCAATACAGCCCGTACAACGCCTAGGCATGCTGAGTATCAAATTATCGATCTGATCTTGGGGGGGATATTACACCACTCAAAAAGCAATGCTCTCCGAAGTTCCGCTAGACATGTAGGAGGAGGTTGACAGGCTGCAACTCGTCGGCCAAGCATGTCCTACACGTGCTCTACTGGATTCAAGTCTGGTGAGAATACTCACCAGTCCATATGGGTGATATCCTCCGGTTGAAGGCATTCACTTACGATGTTTGCATGGTGAGGACGGGCGTTGTCATCCATAAACACAAATTGTGCGCCCATGGCGCCCTGAAACAAACGTACATGTTGTTCCAGAATGACATCTTGATAGATTTGGCTTGTCATGGTTCCAATTTGAACATGCAGGTCAGTTCTGGAACCCAGAATAATTCCATCCCAAACGAGCACTCCTGCACCACCGTAACGGTGTCGTTCAATGATGTTTTCTTGGTGGTAACGGGTACCTGGAGCTCTCCATATGAAAGTCCGGCGAAAATCAGACTGGAAGCTAAACCTGGACTCGTCGGGAAACATCACACAAGCCCACTGTTGCGGTGTCCACAGTGCATGCTCTCTACTCCAGGCTAACCGCAGGTGACAGTGAGTTGCAGTAAGTGGAACGCATCTGACAGGTTACGAGCATATAGACCAATCTGCCCTAAGCGTCTGTGCATGGTCTGCCTTGAAATTGTCGTACCAGTGGCTGAAGAGAGCTGATGAGACAGGTCTGAGGCTGTGTTCCGCCTGCTTCTTTCGGCAGTAACTGCCAAATACCGGTCCTCATTCGTTGTAACTCTGGGCCGACCTGTGCTGTAACGTCTACTCACATTACCATCTTCTGGGAATCGTTGCCAAAGCCTGGAGATGACCCTCTGGGCAATTCCAAATTCGTCTGATACTTCCAGTTGGGTACGTCCACATTCCAGACGGCCGATAATTCTACCAAGTAAAAAATCATCCAAATGCGTCCTTTGTGTCATAACTATTCGGTTATTGCACTGAAATGCTTATAAAGCGCCTGAGAACAATTTTACTTCTTTGCCTGTATTCCTTATATATCACTCTCTTACACTCTCGTCATTGTGACGTACCATCGGTGTCATCTGGTTACTTCCTGAAATTTGCATATGATTCTTGAAGATGTGTGTAGTGATTTTACAGGTGACATATTTATTTTAGAGTTCGATTTCCGCGTGACTCCGAATTATCCTTAATTTATGGACATGAGTGTAGTTTTCTGGTTGCAATTTTCTAATTTCGGCTATGCATAATGTATGCTTTACGCATGCGCACGTTGAAAGAAATGTTTAATAAAGTAAACAAATAAATATTAAGCTTCTTTTTTCGTAAATTTTGATACCCTTTAGATCATAATTGCTCATTATTTTATAAATTACAGTTTCATATTTTTAATTTTATAATTTCTGCATGTCATCTTACCAGATTTAAACTGATGATCTATAATCCGGAATCGTCGAAGTCCCGACGAGTCTGGATTAAAGACTTTTGACTGTAGCAATTTTCATTAGAAAATTGAAAGGGTGAATGGACTCCCTTCTTCCATGAGACCTCAACTATTTTTCTATAAGAATGCTTAGTATAAGCAAAAAAAAGAATAAATTATAAGGGGGGAACATTCTTATGTCTGTTTTAAAGTCTCATATTTTCATAATTTTTCGACATTTTAACAATTTTGAAATTTTGGATTTGCCAAAAATCTTCATGTGATGGTAATGAATAAAGGTCATTTTCAGATTCAGATTTAAAAAATACATAAGAATCAATTATCAAAAGTTAAAAAATACAGCAGGCTTGTTAGTTTACTTAGGAGTATGGAATCTTTGTGTTGTAAAAAAAATTGCCCGTCTCCCTTTTTTTATAGACATTCATCTTTGAAAGAAAATCTTGTCACATATGTTTTTCAAAATTGCTTCATGTTCTGGGATGTATAGTATATAATCTAGTACGGACATGTGTAAGGCACTGCTTGTAGGACAGATTTAGAGTAAGTGAGCGTAAAAGAGATTTATTAGAATGCTTTTCAACTGACTTGGCTCAATTCATCTATCTAAAGAAACTGAAAAGTTGCAATTGATAAATTAAAAGCCTACTGATAAATTGAAAGCCTACCATTAGCTGTAACATGCTACAGCATAACTGTCTGTTTGGGAAGCATAATTCATGCTGAAGATGTAGTATGTGATCTAATTTATTTATTTAGTTATTTTTTTTAGATGGTGCCAATAAAATTGGTTGATATTTTAATCATTTCTTTTTCCTGCCATTTTGTTGCACATTTGAATATGAAAGTTGTTGAATATTTTATTTTATGTAGCTAATAGTGAAGAGATGCTGCAATGCTACTACCCATAATTCAGTGAGAAGTAATTACATGGCTCAATTATAATGAGAGATGAAGACCTTTTAAGGGGCTGGACTGATTAGGATATGATCATCAAATTGTAAACCATTAAAAGAACTCTGTCAATCCTGTATACAGCAAAAATACTCAATTGAATCATACCGGAAGATTTTGAAGCTAAAGATTCTACATGACATGCAAAGTACACACAATTCTTTCACATTATCTTGAAGAAGCATGGTGAAGATCTGTTAATAAAAGTAATGACTATTTTTTCGCCATGTTGTGCGACATTTATAATATATACAGCTTTACACCTCATAAAAATTGCTGTTTGAAGAATCACTCTTGTTTTTGTTTCGTAAAATTCGAAAGAATTAAAATTTAATGGAATTAATTAATAGAATCATTTTTATTTATATATTCTTATTTATATATTTATTTTCATATTTAAAAATAGTGTTTTAGTGGTATCATGGAAGAAATAAATAACTAACAAAAGATGGTAGATTGTGTACTACATAAATATGAAATTCACTAATTACTACAATAGCATGTATCTGTTCTGGGTATGCATAACTATTTCTCACATTCATAGCTGTGTTCAGATTTTTGCTTGAAAGCTCATTGGACAGCCAGATTGTGATAGGATATTTTAATTTTTATAAAACCAAATCTATCAATGTAGTTTTGTAAATTATAAAATCTAATTTTATTTATCAGATGGGTATGATTTTAAATGTCAAATATGTGTAATAATTTTATTTGTATGCATTTGAAAAATCATGGTCTTAATATTTTTAATGTTATGTTATAGGTTCAACGTTACTTTTAATTTTATTCATATGCAATGTTCACTGCGTTGAAGAAACTTGTAAGCAGTCATGATGGTTCATCTAAAGTACTGCCACCACCCGGTGTTCAGACGATGGGATTGTCACTTCAGAGAAAATTTGCAAAAGGAGTACAGTATAACAGTGAGTTTATTTTGTAATCTGAAACTGGCTTCTAATTTAAATCTATTTAATTATTAGAGTACAGGATAGCTTTGAATGAGTTGAGATGAAAAATATTAGTTACACATTCATCAAATTCGCAGAATATGCCAATCTGATGTTACTAATCTCACTAGTTTGACAATGATCAGCCCATGGCATCTACTGTGGCAAGAGCCTTGAACATTATATAGGTGACTGCCTGACTTTAGCTCAGTTCCACTCCCAATTTTGAGGGAGAGTATTCTGGGAGGAAGGTATATCCCACCCCCAGATCTACAGTTTTGCTTATTAACGTAAGCAAATAAACAGAAATGTGCCTCATTTGATGAGATTAGGTGCTGAAGTAATGTTTTGTCCTTGTTGCACTTATCCAAGAGCATATCTCATAAGGTTTTTTGACTTAGCATATCTGACGGGAGCAACTGCTTTGCAATCTGTACCTTCTACAGATACAGGTTTTCTCTCATAATCCTGTTGGGAACATTCAGTTTGTGAGACAGCTGACGTATAAAAACTTGTGTTGAATCCGTTGTATAGCATTTGCAAGATTTTGAACTGTGTCATGAAGCTGAGAGTGTTGAAGTAATTCAGGGTACTTCTTTTTGTTGGCAATTTTTTTTTCTCAAAAGTTCTTTACTGCACAGTGGATCACATTCCAGGATGATAGTGGTTATTGAAGATGATAGTATTCATGTTTATTGAATAGTTGTCTGAATTTCCTTTGTGCTGCAATGATGAGTTTTGAAAAACAAAATATGCCTCTAAAACATATGCAATACCCCTTGAGATCCATGACTTTATCAAGGACTAGACACCTTCAACAAAAATGGCCAAAATAAATTTACATGCACTGGCTTTCAAGAACAGTAATATACAAGTATATAAGATTACTCATGTCCCTCCAAATCACAAATAAAATGCATTCTATCATTTTGGGATGCTCTGTGTATTGCTTATTAACATTTTCTAAATCTTAATGTTTTAAACCTTAAATAATTGAAATAATTAACTGTTGATAGCTATTGAATTGTAATTTTAATATTTACAATTTTTGTAAGTCCTTTCCTTGGGATATTGCTAGTTATTTTTCAATGAAAAGTTCAAAATTTTCTACGTACGTACATATTATCCCATTGATCGTGGAACTGTCACCAAGCGACGTGATTTAATGCCAATATGGATAAACATGACTTTTGAACACATTCACAGCATCTGCACTTTTGTTTGATATAACTCCTATTAATCTAGTCTGATATAACTCCTATTAATCTAGTCTGATATAACTCCTATTAATCTAGTCTGATATAACTCCTATAATTAATAAGCCACATAGATTTGTGAATGCACTCTGAGTCGTTTAATGCTGATTGAGAGAATTAACATTTGTTGAATGGGGAAAAGAATAGCTGAGATATGGCCAACAAAACAGTAATAAATTGGAACTCGTAGCATTCTTAAACAGAGCTTTCCAGTAAAATTGAAATAGTAGAATGCTTTTTATAAAGGGCAAAAATGAAATGGGTACTTCCTCAGCATGGTGAATTGTGCTGAGAAACTGAAGAATGCTGGTTTATTACAAGCGTTACAGATAGAAGTGTAGCTCAAGATTCTGCAGGATTTATTGGCATAACTTTAGCAGGATATCCGTTAACTTTTGTGGTTCAGTGGTAGCCAACTTTCATGATCGAATAGAAAATATGTAAGTACCATTTTCTAAATTAAAATATAAAGGTAAAAATTAATTTTAGGTGAAATATAAATCATTTCAAAGATTGATGTAACATGCAATGAAGGAAATGTGATATCTGATAACATATTAATGTGAAAAGTGTAAAGTCAAATTTTTAGGTATGCTGTATTGTATGTTTTAATATTTTTGTTGTGAAAAATATATTTCATGTTAATTTTGATTCTTTTTTCATAATGTAATGCATATTATTGGTATTTAGTGAATTTAAAAATAGATTTGTTATTCAATTTTTTTAGTAATGATGTGGTATGCAGTTTACTGCTTTTAACCTTTTAACTGTCATGCCCGAGATAATCTCGAAAATAGCACTGATGTTCGAAAATGTCACGCCTGAGTATTACTCGGGGGAATTTTTTTTTAGTGCAGCATATTGTTATACCCGAATATATATCGGGAGACATTTATTTCAGCTTCATCTCTTTGTCAAACCCGACTGTATCTTGGGAAAAGTTAATGTGCGCTCAATTCAATAGATGACAGCACTTTACTGAAGATTTTAAAGGTTAGAGGTTATAAGTTCTTTGGTTCAAAGTGCACAGGATCTTTTTATTGTAAAATGGCATCCTGTTCTTTGAAAAGTTATATAGATGATTTAGATTCTTCAATCGAAGATGAAGGATGTGTGTTTGATGAGCAGTATTCATGATACTTCCATGGTCAGCCTCTAAAATAAAAAAAATAGAGATATACTCAAGCCTAAGATTGTTTCTGACTACAGTCTAACTACGGGTAGTGTAGATCGCTGGGATCAGGAAATATCCTGTCATCCAACAATCCGAAAACGTCAGAAAAAATATTATAAAAAGATATTTTTACATTTACTAGACAAGGTACTCTGGAACTCATATTTGCTCTATAATAATGTAGTTTGGAAACATATTACATTTTTAGAATTTCGAATCCAAGTTGTAGAAGAGCTTTTACATAAATATGATGATGCAGCTTCTGGACAAAAGAATGTTGGCAGACCACCTACAATAGATAACTCTGCCCGTCTTACTGAACGACATTTTATATCCCATATTCCTCCTACTCCTGCGAAACATGAGCCTACAAGACAGTGCAAAGTGTGTTGTTCGAAAAAGGATAAAAATGGAAAAAAGATAAAGAAGGAAACACGATTCTGTTGTAGTGATTGTGGAGTTGGTTTGTGCTTGGAAAAGTGTTTCCGGTTGTACCACACAAGACTGAATTACTGAACTACTAATAGGTATTCATTTTTATTTATTTATTTTTAGAAAATAATTTTTTTTTTTTTTTTTTTTTTTTTTTTATTTTTAGAAAATAATGCTCCACTAGAAGCGAACTTTACAACTGCCATGTTGAGTGGCAGCCGCCTCAAGCAAATATGCAGTGGCTACAAAACTTTAAAAATTTTACCCATGTACTTCAAAATATCAATTTTTAACTACTTAAGTATATTTTATTTTGTACTAAACATTTGATTTTTGCAATAAAAAAATGTGACAATTTGTGTGCCCAAATCATCAAAATAACTTGACAGTTAAAGGGTTAATTAGTTATATTTTAGATGGCACCAATAAAATTTTTTGTTGTTTTAATAATTTTTTAATGCTATTTGTGGTTTCATTAGTATTAGTACCATTTGCAGGATTAACAAAGATTGTGTCAGTCTCATCAATGAATAATAACTGTCAGTCCTACAGATGGTATTACTACTCAGAGAACTGAATCATGCTGAATGATTTTTGAAGCTAAAGATTCTACACAACGTATGAAGTAGCATTTCAAATGCTTCTATTTTATTTTGCAGAAGCAGGGTAGAGATCCTTTAATAAAAGTGATGTCTAATTTTGGTCATGCTGCGAGATTTTATTAAGGTATGTGACTGAACGACTTCTAAAAATGGCCCTCTTTATAAAATTAGAAGGAATTTCAAATTGATGGAATTAAAAATTTAATAGGGTATTAATTAATGGAATTTTGTTTCATATTTTCTGATCATCTGCATGAAAAAAATTCAGGCAATGTTCTCTGTCACCGAGATAGGCAGCCCATAGGATTATCAAGCTATATTTATGTAGCACCCTTATTAGGGGCATGAAAGCTGATTTCTGTCTTCAAATTCAACTTTCATTTTTCTGATTAGTGTTTGTTTTTTGTTGTATTCAAGTACATTTTTTTTCCTCGTTAGGATTCGTAATGAGACTGTGGAGTTTGCTGGATGGTGAAAAGAAGGCATTGCATTTCTTCAGAAATATAGCATTTTACCAAATAGTAGAAAATTCTCATTCAAGAATGCAAAAATTTGCATTCAGTAATGTTGGACTTAATAAATGATTGAATTTGCATGCTGATGCCAATTTTGCAGTTCTCTGATTTTTTTTTAAAGCAAAAACAGATTGCTGTGTACATGGGAACAGTATGTGATATGCCAAATTTGCTCTCTCTCTCTCTCTCTCTCTCTTTTTTTTTTTTTTTTTTTTTTTTGTTTAAGCAAAAACAGATTGCTGTGTTACATGGGGAAATGACAGTATGTGCAGTGCCAGGTTGTATCTGATGCCGAGTTTGTGCAGTTCTCTGTTGTTTTCTGAAGCTAAAATAAATTGCTGTATGCATGGGGAGAACAGGTTAAAAAAAACAGTGTTTTGCTATTTTTTATTATGGATGATTCTTTGACTTTTAATTTTATTAAATGATTGCTGTTGTATAATTCTGAATGTGCTGCTATTTTAGAAAATGGCTGTTATGTCTTAGTGTGGTGAAAAATTAGTCACTTATTCTTAATTATGTGTATTTATTTTTATATGGGAAATATATTTTAGTGGCGTCACCAAATAAATAACTATCTAAAAGTGGTAGATTGCATGGTACATCAATATCTACATTTTTAATCAGTCTGTACTTATATATTTCCTGTTAGATTGCTTATGAATCATAAAACTTTTCAGTGAAAATCATCATTAAGGGTGATAGAAATGTTGGAAAGTCCTGTTTATTTGCTAGATTGCAAGGGAAGAAATTTATTGAAGAATATCTGCCTACAGAAGAAATACAGGTAACTATTGTTTATATAATTTTGTGTGTATTATGTGTAACAAAATAAAGTATGATTATTTTTCATCAATATATTTATAATTAGAAATACAAATTTTACACTATTTTGTCATCTCATCCTTTATGAAACTATTGATAGAATTGCATGCATCATATTCGGTATTAAAATTTGGTACAGTTTTCTTCTGAAGACTGTATATAGCCTACAAATTTGCATTCCTAATGGACGCATGTATTTAATCCATTAAATATGAATTTTTAAAATATGTGCCTATTACCTATCTTACATATTTCAGACAGATAAAAAATGACTAGAAATGAAAATTTAATAAGTATTTAATTATAGGTTGCAAGTATCCAGTGGAACTACAAAGCAACTGATGATGTTGTAAAGGTGGAAGTATGGGATGTAGTTGACAAGGGTAAAAAAAGGAAAAAAATTGATGGACTAAAACTAGACAATAAGTTATCTGAGGTTAGTTATCTATTTTTTGTGCATTTTTAAGACATTGATATTGATCCCACTCACCATAATTTTTGTTGGTTTTTTGTAGTGTTTTCCAAACATTTCAGCCATGCACTTTTGCAGTGCATATACACTGCTCGACATTGAAAATGCAACACCAAGAAGGAGTGATCAGAAATTTATGCACATTTTAGAATAGACATACATCACTGAGTTATGCGGATGATGTGAAATGCGCAGCTCTCTGACACACGTGAAGTAAGGTATAAGGGAAGGAATGGGCAGAATGGGCAATATTTGTGTCATTATTTCTGCCAGATGAATTATCGAAGGAAGTTGGTTTTTGTCCCAGAGGATACATGTAATCGAAGAGAGTGCCAGGCCGCCGTTAACGAAAGCACTTCCAGCAGATAGATGATTTTACGAGGGATATGGTGATTGGACTGAGAAGGGCGGGTTGGTCCTTACGTCAAATAGCAGCTGATACCCACGTGGGTGCGAGCACGGTGCATCGGCTATGGCGAACATCGTTGGAACAAGGAAATGTGGGAAGAAGGAGGGGTGCAGGTGCAGCCAGAGTGACATCAGCACGTGTGGATTGACGCATCCGCCAACAAGCTGTGGCGGTCCCGCAAGTCAGTTGTACCACGATTCTGCAGCATGTGCAAGATACCCTGGATGTTCCCGTGTCGACCAGAACCCTTTCCTGTCGATTAGTTGAACGTGGCTTGCACCCACGGCGTCTGTTAAGAAGACTGTCATTGATCCCACAGCATAGACGGCAACGTTTAGAATGGTGCCTGACTGGAGCAATGTGGATGACAGAGTGGCGAAACATTGTGTTCTCTGATGAGTCACGCTTCTGTTTATCCAGTGACAGTCGCCGCATACGTGTGTGGCGTCAACATGGAGGCAGATCTAATCCGGCACTAACTGTGGAACGCGCCACTGCGCTACAACGGGGCATAATGGTTTAAGGCGCAATTGGCGTATGATTCCAGGTCACCTCTAGTTCATATTCAGGGCACTATGATGGCCCAACACTACTTGCATAATGTACTTCGGCCGGTGGCAATTCTCTACCTTTAGGGGCTGCTGCCTAATGCAATTTTTCAGTAGGATAATGCCCCAACCACACAGTGCTGGCATCTGCCAACATACTCTGCAAGGTATACAGATGCTTCCCTGGCCACCGTACTCTCCTGACCTGTCACCAATCGAACATGTGTGGGATGTGATTGGATGCCGTTTGCAGACTCTGCCCTTGCCTCGTTCAGAAGATGAACTGTGGCAAAATGGTTGAAAGGGAATGGAGAGCCATCCCTCAGGACACCATCCACATTCTTATTGACTTTATGCCTAGACGTGTTTCTTCGTGCATCGCTGTCCGCATTGATCCTACATCCTGCTCAGCCAACACCGTTCTCGCTCTGTATTCTGACTATCATTTTGAAATAAAGACCGCTTATTGCTGCTTGCTGTCTCCGTTGTTTTTCCAAATTTCATCACTTTCTGACCATTCCTTTTTGGTGTTGCATTTTCAATGTTGAGCAGTGTACATCCAAATATTTGCTTTGAAAAGAAAGAGGAAATTCCTAGGAAAAAGATAATAAAAAATAAATTAATTAATTATAGTTAAATTACAATTAAGTATTATAATAATTAAAATTAATTATAGGCTGTTATGTAACTACTTTTGAATTTCATTATTTTTGAAACTGACCAATTTTTTTTCCAAGAACACAAATACCAAACACCAGAATAATTTGTAATAGGATTACTGTAATTATATTTTTACAGTAAGAAAAAGGTTGTTTCAGAATTTTTTCAGTCCATGAAAAATTGTCTCCTGACTTCTTTGGAAGTACCTGGCCTGTTGAATTAAAAAATGCTTTTTGAAATTGGTTGCAAGGCATATATTGGTTGAAAACAAATGCAAAGATGTCATTACATTAAAAGCCATTCAAAAACAAGCAACAGTTTGAAGTTCTATTATAACTAATTCCAAAATTATTAAACAAATAGGTAGCAAATACTGTGCATATTCATTGACCCTTAGCCATTAAATAGCCATTTAAAGAATAGGTAAGATTTCAATGTCATTTTGCTGGAAAGTAACTGGAAATTTGTACCATTTACACAAATGCCCAGATATTACCAAATATGCCAGATTACACAGAAATACCCAAATTTTATTTGACTTTTGTTTATGGTAATTTTTCTCAGTTTTTATAATTTTTGAAAATTATCGTGTATGAAATATTATATGAGTTACATGAATTAATAAAATAATTCATATTCACAGTTAATTTGGAATGGCATTTACTTTTCAAAGTTTGTTTTCATGGTGTAAAAAGGTTATATTTTTTAGGATTCTTCATATTAGGTAGATAGAATGCTGATATTGTTATTGTATTAACCTTATCTTTACCATCAAGTATACATATTATCATTTTAGTATTTAACGTATAAAAACTTGCAATAATTTTTTATGTGTAGAAATTCTTTATCTTTAGGTTCCTGAAGAAGCAGCCTTAGATGCTGAATTCATAGATGTGTATAAAGGTACTAATGGTGTAATAATGGTACTTGACATCACTAAACAGTGGTATGTTATTATATGTTCTAAAATAGTATTCTTATCTGTATGCTTCAGTTAGAATGGATGCATGTATACTGAAATATTTTTATATTTTTTTATATGTATTTTTAGGACATTTGCTTATGTCCAGAGAGAATTGCCTCTCATTCCCCAACACATTCCAGTGTTAGTTTTAGCTAATCATCGAGATATGGGGCATCATCGTACTGTTACTGAAGATCAAGTCAAATTTTTTATAGAGAGTTTAGAGAGGTATGTAAAAGAATATATATTCTTTTAAATGTTTTTCAATAAATTAGTTCTTTTCTTTTTTAAAACAAGTAAGTAAATATCAGGTAAGTAAAGTAAGTAAGTACGTAAAGTCAGGTAAGTAAAGTAAGTAAATATCAGGTGATCCAAGATAAACTGGGCTAGGCATGGGAGATCCAAGATAAACTGAGCTAGGCATGGGAGATCCAAGATAAACTGAGCTAGGCATCATTTGCTTTAACAGTTTCATTAAATGCTTATTATTTTTTGTTCAATTTGCAACAAAATTCTGCTCTTAAATTATAAGGTATAAGTTAACTTTGAGTGATGGCAACTCATGGTGATCCAGTATCTCTCTGCACAGTCCTACTACCCTTATTCTGTAGCTCCTTAAAGTTAGAAATGTCGTGAAAATTATTACAAAGAACAGGGGGTCCTATATAAAATATCTGTATGTTCCTTACATTTTAATAGCCATTTAAATCACTGTATATAATCATTATATCATTATTTCTTTTATTTATATCTTAAATAGTAGTTTTTGCAAGGAATAAATATTTGACAAATGAAAGTTGTGAAGCTAAAAATTTTTTATTCCAAGTTGCCATCTGGAATTATGACTGGTTCATATAACAGTTAAAAGTATTGTGCCATTCATTTTATTGCTGATTCATAAAGTTTGAACTTTACATGTATAATTTTATAATATATATTTTAAATGGGTTTAACTAATATGCATATACAGTCAAAAGTAGTTAATCCGGACTCGTCGGGACTTCGATTATCGGCGATTATTAATCGGATTATCGATTTTTCCGGATTATAGATCATCAGTTTAAATCTGGTAAGATGGCATGCAGAAATTACAAAATTAAAAATATGAAACCGTAATTTATGAAATAAAGAACAATTATGATCTAAAGGGTATCAAAATTTACAAAAAGAAAAAGCTTAATATTTATTTGTTTACTTTATTAAACATTTCCTTCAATGTAAGTTGCTTCGTTTCATGTGATAATACTTTCTCTTTAATTCTATTAAACAGACATAATTTCTTGTTTAGTTACAAAGTTCCGCTGTTCAAGTCCTATAATTGCTGTGTTGAGAATACCGACTAATTTGTCAATCGAAATGTTTTCGTTTTCAATAACCTCTGGGTCACTTTCTTCACTATCCGGAAGCGAATTATAATGAGGAGGAACTTGATTTAAATCATATCAAAGACGGAGTATATCAAGATGAAATACTACACTTAGTACGGAATTATAAACCAAATAAAATAAAAACATCTGCTCTGAAGATAAGGATAGTGCTGACAGATCAACTTCCAATCCGCAGCGTGAAATTGATAAACAGATTTCGGATTTCAAAACATACTTTCACTTTGTAGATACAAATTACATATTAGTAAATATATATCGGAAATTCTATTTGACATAATCTTTCTAATCTATCATAATCTAATAATGACGTTTCTGCCCCCCCCCTCTGCCGCAGAGCAGTGTGAAATTGATAAACAGATTTCGGATTTCAAAACATACTTTCGCTTTGTAGTAAATATATATCGGAAATTCTATTTGACATAATCGAAAGTTCAAGCTTACTTTTATAAAATTGCTCTAACAGTCTGCAAAAAATAATAAGCCGGATCCAATTCGAAGATTAAGGAACAACGCAATCTGCAACATTAACTGAATTAGATAACTTTAGCTTAGCGTATAACTCCGTTACGCATTAAACGCGCATGTGCACAAACATATTCGCAGCTGTAAGGGTCTTATGCGCTCTCGTAAATGCCTGTGCGCATGCGTGAACGCGACGCATGCGCAGAAAGTTTGTAGCTTTGAGGTCCGGATTATGGGTGTCCGAATTTACGACTTTTGACTGTAATATGTAATTTATACATTTGCCAATTCAAGGAATGGAAATAAAGTAGCAAAATTTTTAATTGAATATTAAAACATTTTTCAGTATGAATTTTGAGGCAAAATTAATGATATCAAAATAACTCAGTCATGTTATGATTAGTCTTAGCTTTTAATAGAGATTTTTGCAAAGTTGTATTCACTTGAATCATTAGTCTTCTAATATTTCTTCCTAGTTATCAGCTCTGTTTGTAATATGAATTTTAAAGGTGTAATTGTGAGTATTTAGCAATATTAAACTGTAGACAAAATTTTTTTTATAGTTATGTGTTTAGTTTTGGTATTAAAAATTATAAAAAATTAATTGCTTTCAGACGTCAGGAAAGTGCTCAAATTAGGTATGCAGAGTGTTCAATGAGAAATGGCTTTGGGTTGAAATACTTGCATAAATTCTTTAATCTCCCATTCCTTCAACTTCAGGTAAGGGAACAAACTGCAGTAATGTATTTTTTAGTATTTTTTTATTTGAATATTAAGATATATGAACTTGCCATGTTGTTTTACTTACCTTATATTCATTCTCAAATAAATTTTAACCATGCTTATATGATTAAAAATTCACCAAAAACCTCTTCAGAATACTGTTGTATGTTAGCAATATATTTTGCTGGTAAAGAATGATATGATTTATTATATAGCTTTATTATCCAAACTCTTTAACACTAGTTTAGCAGATGCCAATGAGTATGTTAAGAAATAACTGGAAATTGTGAGAAGGAAAATTCTAAATTTTTAGATCACTTCTTTTGTGTTTTATGATTATGTATTTCATCGATCTTTCTGATTTTTTATGATCACTTTTCCTTAAATTACTTAGACTGGATGTTTCAGAATGAGGGATTTTAAGGAGTATATAACACATGAAAATAAACACATTTTATCATAGAATATTTGGTCACATATTAAGTGAGTAGGTGCTGGAGGGCAGTCTCTGTTTTCCCAGACAGGTATCTTTTGCACCTTTTCACATAAAGCCCTTCCAGATACTTGAAAAGGCGATTTTCACATGAAACACCATTATTCTTCCTGCATGTATTTTATTTTTGTATTTTTTCATATATTTTGTTTGGGTGTATTTCCCTGGTTATGGTGGGGTTTAACTTCTCTAGTCTTCTTAATTTTTATATTGTTTTAAATTCATAGTGATCTTAAAGTTCTTTCAAACTATCCAAGTAAGTAACTTTTGCATGACCCTGTGATAGGCAAAACCATATACATATATATATATATATATATTATTAGAAATTTATTACTAGAATTAGTTTTTTTATATATCATCTACAAGGAATGAAAATTTAATTAATGCAATGAATTATTGGAATAAATTTGAGTCAGTATGTTAAGTATAAGATATTTAGATTTCTATTGTAGTAAAAGTATTTTAATAAGCTGTAAAGAAATATTTTAAACCAGAAAAATTCTAAGTAGTAAAATGTATAAATGTACAAATTAACATATTCTTTTAGATTTAATTGTAAAACCAAAAGGTAGTAGGCATTTACATACTAATTAATGCATTCTTTTAGATCTAATTGCAAAATCAAAAGTTAGGCTCTTAAATAGAAATGTATACATTCTTTTTAAATTTATATGCAAAATCAGAAAGTAGGTATTTTATATTCTTTTAGATTTATACACAAAATCAGAGTATTTATAGAGTATCAAAGTAATTTGTAAGTATTTAAATACAAATTTAAGTAAAAAATGATGCCAGAAAGGAAATTCAAATTAATTACTTGTTTGCAAAATTTAAATTGGCTGTAATTGTAAGTGTACTCACTGATGGAATGTAATAGAGTTGTCGTATTCAGTGGGAGAGAAGGTAGTGGTTGGTGATGTGTTGCACTCTATTTTAGATGTTGTCATAAGTTGTCATAAAGTTAATGAAAGAAATTTACTGTATAGTTAAAGTTGTCATCTGAGACTAGCTTCTTAGTAAATTTTTTTTTATCAAGCAGAAGAAATAAATTTCTGGCTAATTGTCTAAAAAGCATAAAGGAGAAGGTATCTTCTCTGGTAAAGAACTATTTACCAGACTGAGAAATATGAAAAATGCCCATTAGTTAGTAAAAGTAGTTAGTTGATAATAGAATAGAATGCCAGAAAAAAAACTTGTAATTTATGTTTGATACAAAAATTAATTGCAAAATTTGCTAATATTTAACTAACAGACATCCAACTTATTCTGCCTTTCCAAAGTTTAGAATAAATTATCATAATCCTATTAGTTAACAGATTTAAATTGGGTATTTAATGACTGCTTTTTTTAAGACAGAAATTAATAAATTTATCTGGTACCAAATTATTTTTAAGAACTTGAATAAGTATTAATATCTCGTTTTGAATATGTAGTATATCAGTACAAATATTTTTGATTCATTGTATTTGACTAATGACTGTGTTGCTAATTATTTTTCTGGAAATGTTTTAAGTCCAATTAATTAATTTGTTAGATAGATACCTTTTCAGTACTTTAAATTTTGCTGTTTAATTTTACTATTTAGAATTTTTCTCATTTAAAATAATATTTCTTTAAGGTTATTAAAATATTTTTATTACAATAGAAATCTAAATAACTTATACTTAAAATACTAACTCAAATTTATTCCAATAATTCATCACATTAATTAAATTTATGTTCCATGGAGATGATATATACTCGTATATATAAAAACTTTTCCAATGATAAATTATTGATTTATTACTTGGCAGCTTTAGCACAAGTATTTGGCTTTTTAAATTGCTCATAATTATTTGTTAACTTAGAATTTTCATTATATATCTACATCTATATGTCTATCTATCTTTCTATATATATATGTATATATATGACCTAGAATATTTTTTGTGACATTTTAAGAAAGGATATATACATGCATTTTGAAATATTTCCAAAAAATCAAGGCGTATATTAAAAGGAACTAGGGGCCTTATCACATTAAAATCAAGAAAATATCTCTTTCTTTTGCCATTTTTTAGAAATTTGGGTTTTCTTAGTGAAACCTTGTGCCAGTTGGAGTGTTAAGACTTACTTGGATGGTTTCATTTTGTCACCTCTGTTCATCTCCTGAGAGAGAGCCTCAGTTTCAGACCTAATTATATATCTTCAGTGCCTTTATTTTTATTGATTCAGATATATTGTGTTGTCTAATATTTGTTGCTAAACTGTCAGGTTCATGTAGCATCATTAGTAAACTGCAAGAAATTAGTAAAGAAAAACAAAGAGAAGGCAGACATCATCATCATCTGTTTTTTAATTGCATTGCAAGCGTGCTGTGGGAAAGCAGCCTCAAAAGTGACTAACAATTTAATATTTGACTGTGTATTACAAGATAAAATGTATTTGTTTTGGTTTATTTTTTCATTCTTTCAAGTTTGTTCTATTAGTTTTGAAATGCTCTGTGTTATTATGCTTCCTTTTATCTCTCAGCTCAGACATTTATTTCTTTCATGAATCTTTGCGCCTAGGCAAAAATATCATTAATTGCATTATTCCTAACTGTGGCGTATAATCACAAAAGAACTGTGCTTTCAATAAAGTCAAGCTAACAAATTTTAAAAATTATATTAAAGTGAAACAATAGTTATACTAAAAATATTATTGCTATGAGGAAGGTAGCAGTTGCTGGCTTTACAATGTTCTTTTCACTTTGCTCAAAAATATAAGTTAATACTGAAATAAAATTCATAATTTGTATTTAATTAAAGTAAATAATGTGCAGTTTCTTGAAGTAATCATATTTTAAGCATGAAAAACAGGCATCCAAATTTTTCTCAGTCTTAGTTCAAATACATTTAAATACTGGAGCTACATTATAGTTATTTCGAAATATTTATGTTGGAATTAAATTTATTTTGGTACAGTTCCATTATAGGAACTGTACAAAATAACAGCTTACATAAAAGGGCCAAATCTAGCAAAATGTGCCCATTTAACCGTGCTCCAAATCTAGCAAAACGTGTCCATTTAACCATGCACCAAATCTAGCGAACGTGCCGATTTCACAGCATGTAAATTTGGGTAGTTCTAGTAGTAAGTTGCCATTGAAATACTAGTTTAATTTTTTAATTCATTTTTGGTAATGCTATAGGTCTAACAATTTGAGAATTGCTCAGTGACGAAATGAGAAGAAATAGTAACGTGTTCTATAATAGTAGAAGAAAGTAACATGTTCTGCCACAATGGGTTTTCGGTAGATTGTGCAGAGAATAAACTGAACGTTCCTTAGTCACTGTTCCAGATTGATTGGCAAAAACTTTATTGAATGCTGTAAAGGAAAATATTGCTGAAGGAAGCATTATTTATACTGATTGCTGGAAATCATATAAGTCGGATGAACTGCAACGATTTTGTAAACCCTGAATGTGTGGTCATACACAAAAAATAGAGCGGCTGTGGGGCAGTACTAAATGGTGTAATAAAGGCTATTAGAGCACTGCTTGACAGCATTTTGACTACTCTTTGTCTATATACAGACATTTGCACCAAAAAAACTGAAATTTTCTCTGCAGTGTTGGAAGACATCAAAGTTCTATGCCTTTCATTTACGTAGCGTATTCGGAAACTAAGTACCGTTTCATTCTAGCGCCATCGCAGCGCTGTGGTAGGCATCCCGCGCATGTGCACAAGTCTTTCTTGTTCACTGACATTCAATTGTCGCCATTTTGGTTGCTCTATGTTGTGTTTTCAGTTTGCTGTGCACATTCAAAATGTTTAAGACAATTAGTTCTCCCCTGACTGTGAGATTTGTGCCGTGATTAAATTTTTGAACGCGGGGAATGTTAAACCGGCCAAAATTTATCGTCAAGTGACAGAAGTTTATGGTGAATACGCGATAAGTGATGGAATGGTGAGAAAGTGGGTAAGAATGTTTAATGCAGGTCGAACAAATGTCCACGCCGTGGCTCTGAGTGATCAGCCTTCTGTTGTCACCGATGATTTGGTAAGGAAAGTTGATGAAGCAATTCATGAGAACAGACGCTTCACAATGACAACTCTTTCAGAGGCATTTCCACAAATTTCACGTGCTGTTTTGTTCGAAATTGTGTCTGACCCGCTTGAATTATTGCAAACTGTGTTCCCGATGGGTTCCAAAAATCAAAACTGGTGGGAAGTTTCTTTGATGATGGTATAGAAAAACTGGTCACCCGCTATGACAAGTGTTTGATCATTGGCGGAAACTATGTCGAAAAATAATTTAAGACATGTATTTTCATGTGAAAATAAAATTGGATTCGAAAAAATTGTTTTACTATTTTTTTTTTCAAAACGGTACTTAGTTTCCAAATACGCCTTGTAATTTCCCTAGTAATTTTTTTATAAATTAAAATAATAAAAAATGTATTATATGAATTACATTCATCAAATGTATTACATTCATCAAATTAAATTCATCAAATGTATTACATTCATCAAATTAAATTAATAATCTTAGATAGTTAATTACTATTATGCCTTCTTTCAGTTATGTTCAGCTGTTTGTTTATACGAGGGCAATCCCAAAAAAAGGTCTCCTATTTTGGGGGGACGTAGAGAAAGTTTTAATATGGTTGTTGGCAACACTATTGTGAGTGGTGCCTTCTCCGCTACCACATAAACACGCAGGTGCTTCACTCGGATGCTCAGTCTTGGCTTGGCAGCCATTCGAAATGGAGCTCTCGATAAACGTTACCGCCAAGTGCGAAGTGTGCCCAGTTATTCAATTTTTGAACGCAAAAGGCGTTAAACTGGTTGAAATTCACCGCCTATTGACAGAAGTGTATGGACAGTCGTGCATGGATGTCAAAAACGTTCGCAAGTGGTGTAGAGAGTTTACAACCGGTCGTACTGAAATTCATGACGAAGAAAGGAGCGGGAGGCCGTCAATTGCCGACAAGACAATCGCGAAAGTTGAGGGAGTTCCTCAACTTTCGCGATTGTTGAGTTTGTATTCGTTGAGTTTCGCGATTGTTGAGTTCATAAAATGCGTAAAGATCGGAGGATCATCTGGATGCTCCTGAAGCTCCTCAACGCTTCCTGAAGGGCATGGTGGCAAGCTGGTATGACATGGGCATTGTAAAACTGCCAAAGCGTCTACAAAAATGCATCGACCGAAATGGCGATTATGTTGAAAAATAAAGCATTTTGCAATCTTTAAAGTGATGTAGCAATTATAGAAAATAAACGGTTCTTTGTATATCTAAAAATCTAGGAGACCCTTTTTTTTGGGGGGGGATTGCCCTCGTAAATTAAAATAATAAAATATATATTATATGAAATTAACCTTTTATCTAAATTAAAATTAAATAATGTGAGATAGTTATTTACTGTTATGCTTTCTTTCTTCTTTCCTAGTTATGCTTCCTTTATTAGGGTTACCATAATTACTTACAATTTCGAACAAAACAGCACGTGAAATTTGTGGAAATGCCTCTGAAAGAGTTGTCATTGTGAAGCGTCTGTTCTCATGAATTGCTTCATCAACTTTCCTTACCAAATCATCGGTGACAACAGGAGGCTGATCACTCAGAGCCACGGCGTGGACATTTGTTCGACCTGCATTAAACATTCTTACCCACTTTCTCACCATTCCATCACTTATCGCGTATTCACCATAAACTTCTGTCACTTGACGATAAATTTTGGCCGGTTTAACATTCCCCGCGTTCAAAAATTTAATCACGGCACAAATCTCACAGTCAGGGGGAGAACTAATTGTCTTAAACATTTTGAAACATCAACAGTAGTATGGTGATTTTTTGTGATCCTTATAATCGAATTGTACCTTGATATCATTTATTAAAAATGGAATTTCAAAGTAATTTTAAATCCAAATATAATAAATGATGATTTATTATAAATAAATATGCAATCATATGTAAGTTACAGATATTTAAAAGTAGTAAAAGAACTAAATGAACTCCAGCATTCTGGATGATTTTTTTCTTTGAACATGACTAGCTCAGAAAACATGAACATGAACATGATTTAATAGGATTATATAAATATATCTTTAGAAATATAATCACTGAGAAGTTTTATGGATTAGTGACATTTTGAAAATTAAATTTATGAATAGGCAGTGCAGATTAATTCATTAGTGAAAGAGCATATGTAAACTTGATTAATTGACAATATACCAATAAAATTACGGTACAAAGTCTGAAATTCAGAATCATCGGGACTTCAGCCATTCCCAATCCCCCCCTCCAGATTTTACATCATCAGTTTAAGTCAAGTAAAATGACATATAGACATGGCAACATTGGGGCTTCACTTATGGTTTAGATCATATGATAACCTCCTTATAACTATTCAAGGACAGAAAGTATGATTCGAGCTAACGTAAATATGTCAACCAGTTCATTGTCATTGGCCATAGAGCCACTCCATAGCCAGAAAATATTTGAAAGTGACATGTTCGGAATCAGGTGCACCTCTTTCTGTTATTGAGTATTATATTCTCCATTTCTAGACTTTGTAAAAGGGGAGGGGAGTTTTTCTTGTTAATTTAATTTTATTTATATATATTTTTACATATTGGATTAGTGTTCTGGATATTGGATTGTTCTTGACTTTGGAAATTTGGATTTTGGACTTTACTGTATATAGAATTTGATTCCACTTATAGTTATAATTTTCATATAATTGATTGGTATTGGCATGTGATTATTAATTGTAAAATCCACATTTGTGGGATTTCTCTTTTTGATTCACAGCTAAGCTTCTTTCTCTATTATAAATTTTGGGAATTTCAGATCTATTAATAATGTCTGTGAGTTTAAAACTACTTATATTTTAAAAGATTTTATAAAAGTGAAAAAATTCTAGGTATTAATGAGAAATTTTAAAATATTTCATGCTGTGATTTGGTTTATTTGATTATAGCAAAGTACACAAGAGCTATCTACATAAGGGGAGGGATGCTTTTATAGAAGATTCTCTAAGGAAAGCTGGCTCATAGCTATGTTACATATGGGTAAAGCAACGAAAATGACCATGCAGCCAACCTGTTCACCTGGAATCGAAACCAGGTTGAATTAGTAGTGCTCAGTGACTTTACTGCTTGGCCGCTGGTGGGCTTCATGCAATGAAAGCAGTATTTTATGTGCCATATCTTACAATCTCCAACCTGAAAAAAGTATTTAGACTAATTAAAAACTTGTTAGCTATGATGTGAACATCACTTGATGGTTCCTGGTCAGTGTGGTGTAATGCACTTGCCGTGTGATGGCTATATCATGCTATGTGCCTGAAGTGAGAAAAATATAGGTCATTAGTTAGGGCAGAGACAAGAGATCTTGATAAATTGGTTGGACATGTAATTTTATACTGTAAGTGCCAAAGTTTCAAATAAAATATAATCAAACTATAAAAAGTTCCCCAGGAGCTTTTGCAAATTATCAGCCTGCTTTGTCAGTTGGTAGAGTTCAGATTCATTCCTAGCGATGAAGCTCATATGCGATTCACCAAAGGTGCAAGAGAAATTTTTCATATTATAGGCTTCTATTTAAAACCTTTTGTGTTTATACAGATAAGAATAATGTGAGTTTACATTTTAAATGTCTAAAATGTCATAATTTTTCTCCTTTTGTTTTTATATTTCTCTTTTTCAGTATCTCTTCTGTTGCTAAGATTTTTTTATTTTCAAGTCAAGTTAGACATTTATAAATCTGTATCTTATTAGCACTGTGTGTGAGTATACTTAAAGTGATCAATACTTTTCTCCAGAGAGAAACTTTATTGAAGCAACTTGAGATTAATAATAATGAAATTCGTGCTACTGTTGAAGAATTGGATTGCTTAGCTGAATCAGAGGAACAGAATTATGATGTGTAAGATATTTCAGTTTTTAAAAAAATTAATTTCTTTTTACTAATATTCAAATTGATTTCATTATTTTTTTATTGTATAGAAATATTTGTATTGTAATTATAATCATACAGATGGCTTTTTGTCTTTTTGTAGTAAACTCTCTTTTATTGTTCTAAAGTTAGCTTTCAAATTGATTTAAAATCTTTGTATTACATTTTATTACTTTCTTTTTTATGTATTATTATAAATGCATTTTTAATTAACTTTCAGATTTACATATGAAAAGCATCAAGCTTTTGATATGTAAATCTTATTGTATTTTGTTGTTCCATATTTAAATTATGTATTAGTATTTTAATATTAATGAAATATGCACACTAATGTTAATAATATACAAAGACTTTTCTATACAAATTGAGAATAATGTCACAAAAAGGAACAAAAGTGAGGGAAATAATTAAGTTATCAAAGTATGTTCTTTAAGTGTTATGCAATTGTTCCATTGTTCACATCACTTTTCAAAACGGTTTCAGAAAATATTTTACTGAAGCTGTTTTAGTGGGTCTTGCACTGCGTATCTTCAAAAATAATAAACTGATGTTGAATTTTCTGCCTTAAATCATCTGTTTGAAAACAGCTATAAATTTCATATAATGAGCATTTATCTAAGAAAATTTTACAAATAAATATTCAGTTTCTTCAGTGAGTTTTATATTTAACTAGCTGCTACACAGCCAGCCTTTGTCTTGCTTTTAAATGTACCAGAAAAATGCCTAAACATTAAATTTAAAAACTGCACAGAGTTTTACTCTGCAGAACAATTTTATCAAAATAACAACAAATAAATAAATAAATAAAAATGTATTACATATAATAACATACAATGAAATAAGCGATATCCCTTAATACAAACATTAATTATCCTAATAAATAAATTAACCAACTTCCCAATGCCTTTTCTCGAAAAACATCCAGTATCCAAGAGAAACGTCAAATTTAAAAACTGCACAGAATTATCAGCCTCATTTTTCTGAGTGGCAACAGTGCTGATATCAGAAACAATGGCAACAGTGATATACCAGCAACAATGGTTGTGTGCCATTGTTGCTGTTAAATTATGTATTTGATGTAATTTTATCAAACAACATAAAATTTAAAAAAAAAAAAAAAAAAAAAAAAAAACGCTTTGAGTTGCTCTGGCACTTGTCTAGATGCATCTATGTACCAATTTCATAGCCCTGGGCTTATTAGCTTACATGCTGCGCAAATGAAAGAAAAGCACACAGACAGACTCTTCCTTTTATATACATAGATTTAATAGAATACAGTTTTATTAACTAAAGTCAAGCCAAATAAAAATACATGAAAAAAATTAATTTCTGTTGGCAAGACATCAGTTTGCTTCTGAAGCTTGCAGTGTCCTACACGTAATTAAAATTGATAGCAGAGTATTGAAAAGTAGATTTTTATTCAATTTGTGATGTTTATAAAAAAAAATGCTTTTGTTGCATTTACTGTGCTAACATGATATGCACATTCAGAACTGTTTACTCCTTTTTTTTGGTGAAAAATTGTATTCTTAAATTCTGCCATTGCATATAATTGCTAGAATTAAGAAGTAATAAAAGACTTCATCGTTATTTTTACATTGTTTAGATCTCGTATGTCTTAGTCATGTTTAAGTCTTGTTCTCTCTCAGTGTTCATTCATTTGCACATGACTTATGCCATATTGCAGTTAATTTTATGTTATTTGTGTATTTTCTTGTCGCTGCTTTAATGTGAATTTTGATTATTTAAAAAACATCTGTCCACATTATGAATTCATTAAAAGGTAATATATTTTCCGAAATATGAGTTAGCATGCAAGAAAATATTGCAACAAAGATTTGGCAAATTTATACAATTTTGTATGGTAGAATTTGATATAGATTTGATTTGAATTTAATATATGTTAGTCATCAGTAGTTCAAGTGTTAATTATAAATGTCGTTGAAAATGTTTTGAATATTATTTAAATTATTAGAAATTTGATTTTATTATAAGTTTACTGATTGTTTATGGTTTGGAAGAATAAGTAATAGCTTTTTTGCATTAGATAAATTAAACTCACATATAATTTCATTTCTCCCCTAGTTTTCTAGACAACTTAACAAATCGGCGTAGGCAAGTAGCTGAACAATTGTCTCAAATATCTTCCTCGTCGGTGGAATCTGTTAATGCATTTTCAATTTCTCAAGCAAATGGTATTACTGAGCAGTCCCCTACTACACCAAGTAAGTGAAATTAATTCACTTTTTGTTGTTGTTGTTGTTGTAACCACTCACAAATTAACTTTGGATTTTTGTTGTTAAACCAAAATGAATTAAACTGAGATCGGCCATTCCTTTGACAAACTCTGGACTGTGAGCAATCTGTTATCAGGACTGAATTCAGAAATGTATATATGCATGTATGTGTTCATATATGCATGTATATATGTAAGTAAAAATGTGTGTGAAACATGTACACATATATGCGCATACTTCACACACGTGCATACATTCATACATTTCTGAATCCAGTCCCAATAACAGAAGAGTACTGTGGAATTAATTATTGTTATTCATTTTAAAATTAAATAAAGAATAATTTTAATTGGTTTTTTATTAAAAAAAATCATTTTAGTTAAGAAAATTTTTCAGTTCTAGGAAGTGAATTATAATTTATTTCCAGTGTGAATGCAAATTGTTAAAGCTGCTTTTGTGCTTAATATCTATTGTTTACTAAATTATGTACATATTTTTTGTTCAATTTATCTGTCTATCTGTATTTGTATATATCATATATATATATGAAATATATCTATCAAATACATGTATGCCAATCAAATGCATATATAAAAGCTTGTAAAAAATGGTAGTGCATGAAAGTTTTTGCAGAAATGCTACATTTTATTTTTCAGGTGTTTTGGTTGTTATTTTTTTATGAAGAAGGGAGGTTATTAAAACCTGGGTAGTAGATCCAAGTGTGAAAGAATTATAAATGTCAGCCAGGATTGACTGACAGATTATTTAATTAAAAAAAATACCATACTTACTATGTGTTATAAATTTGTAATCAGAAATTAATAAATATCCTGAAGGTATTAGCTTATTCAGAACGTCTGTAAAATAGGAGCCTTAATTTTCTGTAATGTAGTATAGAAATCTTGGAAGCTCTACTACAGACTGTAATTATTAAAAATTTTAATAACTGTTTTTGTAAAGTAATATTTACTACCAGAGATTTATGAAGATGCGAGTTTAAACTTCTTCATATAGGCAGTTGTGATTGATATACATAAATTCAAAAATTTTCATTTGAGAATTATATTTGTAAACATGTATTCACTGATTCAGCATCCACAGTTTTGCTTATCGTCATTCATAAAGGCAGATAAAAATTTTTAAATAATCAAAATATTGCAGTTCAAAAACATGTCTGTCTTCTTTTTTCTTTTTAAATTTTTCCTACCTCTTCCTTATAGGAGTATTCATCAATTAATATTAGTCGCATATTGTTGCAGCTATTCCCAAAATGTATACTGTGAGTGCTTTGTAGCAGTATTGGTGGGCTGATTGTACTAGAAAAGTAAATTATTCTCATTTCTACCATTGCTGAAATAAAATGTTATGTGGTATAGTATAACAACTGCATTTCTTCATCTTATTTGTAGATTGCATTAAAAATATCACAGTACCTTAATGCCATGTATGAGAAAGAATATAATCAGCTGTACAATATACTATTTTACATTATTTTTGTAGTAAAATATTTTACTGTTGCAGTGTTTAATTTTGATAAATGATAATGTAATTCATCAGTTAAACTAACCAAAATCATGCATATTAACATGAATATCTGGTTTTGCGTAATATTCGCTGTTATTTGAGGTTTCAGGTATTTAAGAAAAGTCTTGGAATATATCACCTATAGGTATGAAAGTAGTATTGTATATTTTGACAATGAAGTAATTTTTTAATCATCATCCTCTCATACCATTCATAGTACAGGGTGATCAGCAAATAAGCCCTGATTTCAAAATTAAATATCTCTAAAACAAAGATCAATAGAATTATGAGGTAAACTGTACGTTCATTAGCAAAACTGTAAAAATGGTGTACAAAAGTTTAGAAAATTTAGTTACGAAAATCATTAACAGATGGCGCTCTGCGCTGAAAACTCTCTGAAAGGAGTATAAAAAACAATAAAGTAAAGCAGCCTTTGCAATCAAAATACAATTTTTTCAAAATGTTCACCGTTCGAAACAATGAGGTGGCGTAAACGAAAAATGAAATTTAACATCACGTCTTGCAATGTCTCAACGGAAATGGAATCACATGCAACACCAATCAACGATTCAAGCTCATCTAGAGTAGTGACAGGGTTCGTAGCGGTCCTTACAAGTGCTTATAAGTCCTTATATTTGAAAATAAAATATAAAGGCCCTTATAGGTGCTTGCTTTTTCTTTAAAGCCCTTATTTTTTTTTTTTTTTTTTAGTGCTTATTTTTTGCTTTCAGTGCTTTTTTTTAATCCTTTGTTTTTAATTAACGCGCATTTTTTCCCCGTACCAAAGCCGAAACTAAATAAACAAACTTTCTTCCTTATATGCAACGTCAGATGGTGAATCATACTCCCGAAAATTGCTTTTCCCCCCTTCCTCTGCATTAACGTAACCTATGGTGCGCGCGAGAGTACAGACAGGTGCACGTCGTTCTATTGGCCAAAGAATTGCGAAAACGTAGAAAATTCCGGTACATTCGGTATTCTTTTCCTCCCACCCAAATACTACACACGTTTGAATTTCTATCAAGATTTTAATAAATTTGCATTCTCGTTCCGCGTGGTCAGTTCATATTCGTGTTTATTATGATCCTTATGCTTATATTATGAGCATATGTATGAATATTTATAATAATATAATTGCAGTAACTGCTGAAGTATAGATAAACTTCCAAAAATGGGTGTGTTTTTACACAGATTAGCTTTCTAAGGAATAATATTCGGAATGGCTTAAATAAAAGGAAAGTAATCGAATAGTCAAAATAATTTCATTTTCTTTGCCAATACATTATACAGTACGGAGGTTGGGAGTTTCTTTCTGCAAAATCTCTAATATTGAAGCAGCGGACTTTTTTTTTTTTTTTTTTTTTTTTGTCACTGTCCAATCTGGATTGAATAGGACTAAAAGTTTTTGCGGTCTACCCAACCCAAGCGAAGATTGATTCTATTCCGGAAATTTAATACAGTCTGTTGAAAATTAGAATCAGAAACACCCCAGATTAGTAAGTCTCTTTCTTTTCCTTTATTTAGTTCTTTATTCTCCGAATACCGGCAGCTGTTGATTCCGATTGCGTAATATCACATATGGAAGAATTACGCCGCACGTATTGCGCAATAACGTTTGCGGTATTTTGCAGAGATAATTAATTTTGATGTTCAGTCTGAGATTTGTTTATGAACACTTAAAAGAGTTTTACTGTGCTTTCTAAGCAGAATATTTCTCAGTTCCGTTGGTTTTTATATGATGCACATATCGAAATGTCAAAATCATTTATTTAGCCTAAATTTAAATCTAAAGAACTGCTACAATCTCCCCCACTCCCCTTTTTCCAGTTACTATCCGGAATATTCGGGAATTTCCGAGTATGCGGGTTAGTTAAGCTTTTACTGTTAAAGGATCGCATGAAGCAATTTCCCGTCTTCTGATTTCAGAAATGTGCCTCTTTTTTACTTAAATTACTTTGCTTGGGATATATGTTAAGGGAAAACTGTTATGCAATGAAAATTTAGAAAATGTTCAAATTTTGATTTAAGAAATTATTTAAATTATTTAATAAAAAAATGAGTGGAAAAATAAATTGTATTTATTATTAGGTGCCAAACGAATACAATTAATATGGCTTATTATTATTTATTTTCTATATTTTCAACTGAAATATCATCATTAAATTTTGTAATATAGTTCTGCATAGTTTTTTTTCCCTCTCATTGTAAACTAATTCTGTAAATTGAATTGTCATTTAAAATTTAAAAAAAAATGTTAATTTTTTTCCATTGTTGAGGTAATGCTCATTCTCTTAATAAATATTGCGTTGCTCATATTTTAAATTACAAGTCTAATTTTTCTTTTAAGGTTATGCAGTTGTGTATAATGTAATTAGACAGGTGCTTATTTTTTCCTTAAAATGTGCTTGAAAAGTGCTTATAGGTGCTTATTTTTTTAACTAAAATGTGGCTATGAACCCTGAGTGAGATTGTTTCGACAGACAGTGTCTTTCAATGTGCCCCACAGAAAGAAGTCACAAGGACTCAGATCAGGAGAATATGGAGGCCAAGCTATTCCTTGTCAGTAAATTGCGGATAATATAATGCAGTTACTCTATTCCCAAAGTATTCATGAAGAAAGCGAAAAACTTTATCTGTTCGATGTGGTCAAGCCCCATCTTGCATAATCAGTCGATACCTGGTCGAGCCTCCAATGCTAGTTGAGTGCTGACAATTTGTTCCAAAATTGTAATGTAATGTTCAATAGTTATCTTTTCTCATACGAAAAAGGGTTTGATAATGCCTTTGGCGCATACCGCAGCCCATGCAGTAACTTTAGGTGAATGCAATGCTTTCTCTTCACACAAATGAGGATTTTCAGAACCCCGAAATCTCCAGTTTTGTTTATTAATGATTTCCATTCAAATGAAAATGTGCCTCATCTGTGAATCAAATGCAGCTCACATCAAATCTGTCATTGTCGATCATCGTTAGAATCTGGTTCGCAAAGTCACCCTTTGTTGCACAGCTTTTACGGTGACTTTGGATTTTGTATGGAAACAGTTGTAGGCTATTTTTTCATATTTTTTGTGGCTCGTGTACTTCAAACCTGTCTCTGATGCAATCCGTCAGATGCTTTTCCTAGGATTTTGCTGAACAATTCCAGAAACTTTTGCTGCATTTTCAGGAATGACTACAGTTTGCCTAGGCCCAATAATTTCCCTTTCAATCATCAGCCACGCTGCGAGTCCATTCTAATTTTGCGAAGAGCTTGTGAATGGTTTCACATTGGGTCCAACTGGAACATTGAATCGGTTTTGAAAACTACAGTGTGTTGCCGTAAGACTGTGTTCTAATCGGTGAAATTCCAGGAACAAAAAAACACGTTGTTCAATGGAATACATTATTTTACTTTCTGTGCTAGCCTCTTTTCACTAGCCAACAGTCGTACTGATCACTTTCGACTTCGAAGGCTATTGATAGGTCATTGCAATTAGAGTGTCATCTCTTAACGATTTTCGTAACTAAATTTTCTAAACTTTTGTACACCATTTTTACAGTTTTGCTAATAAACATACGGTTTGCCACATAATTCTATTGATCTTTGTTGTAGATATATTTAATTTCGAAATCAGGGCTTATTCGCTGATCATCCTGTATTATATGTGTGTAACCAATTGTTTAATATGAACTCTGCTGCTAATATAAACTGTTGGACTAACTGTAGTAACGAGGGTGCCTTCTGGTGAGTAGCCAGAGAAATACTTATTTTATTTTAAAAGCCAAGTGAAATTTAAAAGCCAAGTGATTAACCTGATAGGTTGTGTCAGACTCTTGCTCTGTAATTTTCTTAAAGTTAAATATAATGTCTGTGTGTAACTTTAACCTGTTAATAAACAATTGTTACACTATAAAGGACTGTTTTATGACCTCATCCAAAACAACTACGATCACAAGTGTGCACTAAATTTGAATACTGTTATTATTAAAAAAGTTTTAATATTGACTATTTTTTCATGAATTTGGAAAAACAGTATAATATATAATATATATATCACTGATTGTTATGATTTACTGAAATGATAATATTAGATTTGTTTTATTTATTTCTTCTTTATTTAAATTTGTGGCCAGTGCATCTTGCATGCTTTTATTTAAGTTTTATTTAGTGGTTATTGTTACTTGTCTTTTAGAAATAGTCATTTGCCACTTGCGTTACAGCATTGTCTACTTAATTCATAGTGTATTTTTTTAGGATGGTATTGCTTCTTCAAAGAATTAATAAATATTTTGATTTTTAAATGTTGAGGGAAATGTAAAAATATTTTCAGTGTGCTAATGAACCATTATTTTATTAACTGCTGTAGAAAGAAAAGATCTTATTTTCTAACTACTAAAGTTAAGAAAAACCAGATTGTTTTGAATGTCATTTTCTCATGTAAGGCAATGAAATTCAGCATTTTTCATTTCAGACTAATGATAATTTAAATAAAATAAACAATTTTGAACTCTTAAAAGTTTCAGAAATGTTTATCATATCATTCAGAACTAAAGAAACAAAACAGAGAATGGGCTTCCTTTGAAATTTCTTTGTTTTGTATAGTGCAAGAGGATATTTAAAAGAATTAATTTTTTTTACTCTCAGAAATTATTTTTCCTTTTTGGCTGCCCATAAAAAATTGGTTGTGTTACATGTTTTATAATTTTAAGATTTTAAAAACCTGAAATTATATTATAGTTTTCTTTACTATAATTAGAACTGTTTTTAAAAAACACATTTGTATTTCCAGATAACCATTCCATTCCTACACAAATGGGAGGGAAAAGCATATCCATGCCTGCCAATCTGTCACAGTCAGTTGTAGAAAATCCCTGTGCCTCTGTAATAATTGCTCCACCAGCACTGCAAATAGTTCCTTCACAAGCACAAGTAACTACATGCTTTTTTTTTTTAAGTTCTAACGAAACTCAAAATTTTCTAAAAATCTGTTTAAATTCTCAACATATATTTTATTTCTTTTCTTTTTTAAACCACATATTGGGTATTTATTTCAGGAGCCACCAAAACAAGAATCTAGCTTTATCTCTAGGTTATTTAACAAAAGTTCAAATTCTAGTTCATCAAATTCAGTTAATGAAAGCAATGTTAAGAATGGTAAGTTACAAATTATATCTTAATTAGCTGTCAGTGTTAAAAAATATATTCATAGCTAACTACTTTATTTGAATAGTGGTGTATTTTTAATGCAGAAAATTGCAGTTGAGTATATGCTGTATATTTTGTTCGCATTTGTTAAAATTTAAGCCTTCAGGAAACAACCCAGTTGTACACTTTTTATATTCATGTATAAAAAGCCTAAAATAGAAATTGTGGCTTGTGTTTTTCATATAGGAATGAAAGATGAAGATAAAAACTGAGAATTTATTTATTCTTTAGACATTTATAAAATTTTATAATTTAAGCATATTTACTATTTATTTATTTTATATTTAACTATTTAACAAATTTGTTCAAGTATAATGTAAATATAATATTCCTGAAATTTCATTTCTATCTTTTTATTGTTTGATTGCTATCAGATGATTTTTTATAAATAAATAAAAGATTAGAAAAAATTTTAATTAAACAGAAGAAATTGTAATTCAGAATTTTATTCTAGAGTGCAAACCTGTATTAAAAGAAACCTATCTGAATTGAAAGAAAATTTAATCCTGCTAAATTACTATTCTGCAAGAAGTAATAAGTTCTCTTCCAGATATGTAAATTTGTTCAAGAAGTATGCATACATAAACATAATCAAGTAACAAAACGTATATGAAATTGTAATAGAACTTGCTCTGGCACAAGTTGCTTTGATAGTCCTGAACATATACTTTTCCAAGGAGATATGGTTGTGGGGTGACTTTTGAAAAACAATCTTAATATGTTTTCTAGGGATCTCAAAACTGATTGTGAGAAACATCATTTAAAAGTGGAAGACAAATGGTACTATGGAACAAAATTTTAACCTAGAAGACTATGCTAATTGAATAATCATAGCAAGGAATTCTTGGCATAGATCTGAAAAAGAATCATTATTCCTTTCTATTAGACTTTGCATGATATCAGCTATTACCTGCAAACATATGCCATATTGTGCAGTCTGATGACTAATAGTAGATACAGTAATTTTTAGCTTGTTATTCGTAAGAAATAGAAAATTTTGAAAAGTTATAGAGTGACGAATCATGCTTCAAAAATTTCTATTTAGATGAATGTGCATGGGTATGGCATTTACATGGAAAGTCTGCTTTTCTATGAACTGCAGTATTCCATGTGTGGAATTCAATGTTTGCACTTCCGATACACTGGGCCTGTTGGAAAGAATTAAGCATTACTCTGTTTTACCTCTGTGTTATAAATTCTGAAAGATATATTAGCAATTTAGATATTTTAATTATTATTACAGAACAAAATTTTGAAGCAGTTCTTTGTTTCTATCATCATAATCTGGTCTTATCAAAACTTAATATGAAGATAAAAAATTGCAAAAATTAAATTCACCAACTATTCCAGTTGACATACCTGAGAAATGAGCTGGGATATTGAATTAAGTTCCAGTTGAGAATGCTTTTCTTTTAGAGATTTTAACTGAAGAATTGAAGTAAATCCCAAGAGATATATGATAAGAATTGATTGAAAGTGTGCTTAGAAGTGTCAAAGCAATCATGTGATGAAAGGTGGTCCTAAATGTATAGATTTTGCAAAATATTTTCCCTTCTAACCTGCATGTCTGCTTATTTTAGGCAATATAATATTGGGTTTTAACGAAAGTTTCCCGCCACCACAAATATCCTCAGTGTAGACAGTTTGCATTGTTTAATCATATTTTGTCAAACAATTTTTGAGATTTGAAAGAGACTTGCTTTAGAACACTGTATTATGAAATTTGTAAAAAAAAAAAATGTCGTTATCATTAAGTACAAGGTGTCTGAAATGGAACTATCATGCTACCAGATTAGAACCATCATTTACATCCAGTTCTGTAGCAAAAATTCAGCTACAGAATGTCACTAAATCAGCTTTAGGTACTAATGTTGTATCATATGACACTGTGAAGGTTTGGTACTGAAAGTTCAAAAACAAGGCCTATGACATTCAAGAAGCAGAATGCTGTGGATGGCCTGCTGATGTTGATGAAGCCTGCCTGCCAGAACTTATTAAAGAAGATTAGTATGCAATCTCTTGAGAGCTTGCTAAAAAGTTAGACATTAGTGCCATGTCCATTAGCCATGTTATGCATCACATAAACTTGATGTACAAGTTCAGTTGCTGGGTACCTCATGAGCTGACTCAAGCAGGTAAGGACAGACATGTCTGGGCCTGCACTTATTTGGTAGAAAATCAATGCAAGGAAAAAATCATCACTTGTAATAATCACTTGTAATAAAGTCAATTTACTTCAACAACGCAGGCCGAAAAAGGGGTTGGTTTGTACCCAGTTATTATGTCAGCAGTGTCGCTAAGTGCAATTTGACTAACAAAGAAGTCATTCTTTGTATCTGGTGGATTGCCATGGTATTATCTATAAAGAGTATCTGGAAAAAAGGTAAAACACTCGACAGTAAGTTGTACAATGAGATGCTAGTCCATGCTGACACTGCTATCAAGGGAAAATGTCGAACTGAGTTCCAGTGCAAAAAGTTACTGTTCCATCAAGATAATCAAGACTGCATGTGTCTGCATTCACCGGCTGGACTCTGTATAGACTCGAATGGGATCTTCCACCATACCCACCATATAGTCCCAACATCGCTCCTTTATATTTCTGCCTTTTTCTCACACCTGCAGCTACATCTTGGTGCTATTTTTCATTCTGCACAGGACATCTGTGAGGTTAATCTGTTTTTGAACTTGCAGACACAAAGTTTCTGGACTGGAAAAACTATCAAAATGTTGGCAGAAAATCATAAATTTGGGTGGTGATTACAACCCACACTAAAGTTACTATTTTCATGGTTTTTACCCCCCTAACTTTATTAAGAATGTTTTTTTGGTGGAAAGCTTCCACTACAACCAGATATATATATATTATTGCAATTTTCAATTCGAATATAATAAGGATTTCATTTAGCATCAGTGAATATCATAGTGGTTTCAATCAGCATTGTTTTTACATTATTTTATTACTTATAAAGGTGTTCTTAAATTGAGAATGAAGGATCATGGCTATTTTTTCCCATAGTATATAGCAATATTATATATATAATATATATATATATATATATTCAAGAAGTAATTTCTGAAGAAAAATAGTCCATAGAATTATGCCTAGGAACCTTGGCGGTCAGTTATCAAAATACCGTAATTTCCGGAAGAAAGGCCACACTCGAGAAAAATGGCGGGAAAAAAATTAAAATTACACAGAAACGCTGCATCAGTGTAAATGCTGCAATAGATTAAATTGTGCTTGACATCGTCGTGGGCCGTATAGATGCAAAATCTCAACCTAAGTCCTGATATACGACATATCAGTTAAGAAAAATGTATGAAATGAAATTATAACTCAAAAATAAATTAAAGGTAAGAAATGTCGAAAATATATTTACATTCACATATATACTTATATTTACCTACTAAAGAAGTCCATATTTGTAATACTCAGACTATATTATAAAAAATGTTGCAACAACAATATATTAAATTTGGATGACAAAGGGAAATTTTAAATTTTACTTACAAAAGGAATTACAGCAAACTATACATCATATGAAGCCATAAAAATCTGATTCTTCACTATCTGAATTAAAAAGATTCAGTAAATTCTTCCAGATCGTCACATCGTCACACAGGAAAAGTCTTCCAGATCGTCACATTCATCCTCTTGGTTTACAGTCTCTTTATCTAAGGACATAATTTCAGCTTCTTTGAACCCTGCTGTTATTGACGATGTTTTTACCAATTTCCACGTACTTCTTACCCATTTTGCAACTTCTTCATAAGATGCCCTATGCACTTTACCGCTTTTGGTATACGTATGTAATCAGGGTTCGTAGCGGTCCTTACAAGTGCTTTTAAGTCCTTATATTTTAAAATGAAATATAAAGGCCTTTATAGGTGCTTACTTTTTTTAAAAGCCCTTATTTTCTGTTTTTAGTGCTTATTTTTTACTTTTAGTGTTTTTTTTAATCCTTTTTTTTTTTTAATGAACGCACATTTTTTCCCCGTACCTAAATAAACAACTTTTCTTCCTTATATGCAATGTCAGATGGTGAATCATACTCCCGGAAATTGCTTTTCCCCCACTTTCTCTGCATTAATGTAACCTATGGTGCGCGCGAGAGTACAGACAGGTGCATGAAAATTCCGGTACATCGGTATTCTTTTCCTCCCACCCAAATACTACACATGTTTGAATTTCCATCAAGATTTTAATAATTTGCATTCTCATTCCGCATGGTCATTTCATATTCGTGTTTATTATGATTGTTATATTATGAGCATATTCATGAATATTTATAATAATATAGTTGCAGTAACTGGTGAAGTATAGATAAACTTCCAAAAATTGGGTGTGTTTTTACACAGATTAGCTTTCTAAGGAATAATATTTGGAATGGCTTAAATGAAAGGAAAGTAATCGAATAGTCAAAATAATTTCATTTTTTTTTCTGCCAATACATTATACAGTACGGAGGTTGGGAGGTTCTCCCCTTTCTCCGCAAAATCTCTAATATTGAAGCATCGGACTTTTTTTTTTTGTCACTGTCCAATCTGGATTGAATAGGACTAAAAGTTTTTGTGGTCTACCCAACCGAAGTGAAGATTGATTCTATTCTGGAAATTTAACGCAGTCTGTTGAAAATTAGAATCAGAAACTCCCCAGATTGGTAAGTCTCTTTCTTTTCTTTTATTTACTTCTTTATTCTCCGAATACCGGTAGCTGTTGATTCCGATTGCGTAATACACATGTGGAAGAATTACGCCGCACGTATTGCGCAATAACGTATTGCACTATCGCAATAACATATTGCGCAATAACTTTTGCGGTATTTTGCGAAGATAATTAATTTTGATGTTCAGTCTGATATTTGTTTATGAACACCTAAAAGAGTTTTACTGTGCTTTCTAAGCAGAATATTTTTCACTTCTGTTGGTCTATTTTTATGTGATGCACATATTGAAATGTCAAAATCATTTATTTAGCCGAGAAATCTAAAGAACGGCTACGATCTCCCCCACTCCTCTTTTTTCCAGTTTATCCGGAATATTCAGCAATTTCTGAGTATGCGGGTTAGTTAAGCTTTTACTATTAAAGGATGACTGTTAGAAGCAATTTCCCATCTTCTGATTTCAGAAATGTGCCTCATTTTACTTCTTTGTACGAAGTAAAAAGGAAGTATTGTAATCGCGAAAAGTTTCAGGCAGCACATTTCAACGAAAATATTTTGACCGATATCTAATGAAACCGCTATCGAAATAAATTTTGACCGTTATTGAATGCAATTTAACGATGTTTTTGCGTGATATCTGTACGTAAGGACAGAATAAAATACTCTTTTCCTTGAAAAAAAATTATAAAACTGCTTTAAAATTAATTCTGAAGAGAATTTTTCGTGGCGTCTGTACGAACGTATGTACGTACGTGTGTACGTAGTACGTACGTATCTCGCATAACTCAAAAACGAGTAGCCTCAGAACGTTGAAATTTTGTATATAGGACTTCTATAACATGTAGATGTGCACCTCGTATTTTGGTTGCAATTGGCCGCACCAAATGTGTGTATAAATATATTTATATATACATCCACTCTGTTACCCGCCTCAGTGATCTCAGTTTCTTTACTCTTATATGTTGGTAAATTGTACATTTTTTGCTTTAAAAATGATTGAATTATGTTGTTTTTATCTTCCGGTTAAGGATTGTATGCCTTTAGTAAATCTGTGTGCAATATTTTAGAATTATCAGCAATTTTAAAGTTGTTTAATTGCCGCTAAGCCTTTTTTAATGGCGGCCATTGATGTTTACATTTGAAACAGGAGACTAGTGGATTTGTTGCCAATCTAGAGAAACTTAGCTTCACAACAACAAAGATAACACCTTCATTTATTATTTAAATCATGCTTAATCCTTTCTGGAATTTTTTTGAGGAAATAAGCGTTTAAGATTTACTTCGTGATTTTTAATATAGATATTTTGAGTTTTTATGTATTTTTGCCTTCTCGCGAAGTGAGAACTGAATTAATTAAATGAGAAATACTCAATCTGTGAAAAACTGTTTCTTTTTTGTTTTGTTTGCTTAATTTCTTTTATACATCATTCTAGCTTTATTATAGTATTTGAATAGAACATGTGGCAACGATTAGATAATTCTATTCTTTAAATGATATAAATTTTGTGCATTATGAGTTAAATATGAACGAAATATATAAGTTAACTGTTATATAATTATCGGATTATATAACGGTTAACTTAGTTTCCGTTATAAAATTATAATATAAGTTAACTGTTATATAATTATTAATACTGTTAAAAGTCACTGAACACTGGTAGTTCGGTCCAAGGTTTGAATCCCACGAATGGGCTGGCTGCATGGGTGTTTTTGTGGTTTTCCCTGTGTGTAACGTGTATACGAGCCAGTTTTCCTTCGAAAGTCCTCCACGAAGCATCCTTTCCCTTAGATAGCCCTAGGGTGCTTTGCCGTAATTAAATAAACCAAACCAATCATGACATTGATAAATTTCAATTATTTTTTATTTCAGCTTTTACTATAATTTCCCATGTCTGTTTCCTCATATGATAGAATTACTGAGCCAGATTAAATTTAAATTAAATTGTATAATCTTTGACTACTAGTCCACATTTTTAGTTTGAATTTGACTGTTCTTGTTTAATTACATCACCGTGAGCTGTAATTGATTTTGTTAGCATCAGAACATGCCTTTATGCTCTAAGTTCTGTTTGAATAAGAGGCTGATTTAAACCTTTGTCTGATATTGTAGTTACTTTCAGACATAATGATAATTTGCTTCATGTCTGTCGGGGGTTTGGGACTATTTAACTTTTACCAGATCAAGTAAACCCTCATAGGTACATTGTGCAGAGGTTGACAAGTTAGGAGATAAAGCTCGCAGAAACTAGGGAGAGCATTGGTTAGCATATTGAGACAAATCTCTAATTGTTAGAAAAGATACTTAAAGAGAAGGAAATCATTATAAACTATCCAAAGTGTTTGGGAAGGCTTCAAATTAAAATGACGGATAAATATTTTGTTGAGTGTTGTTGTTACAAAATGTAAATGTTTTGTAGCTTCTAATGTGTAATTATCCTAATATTGTTTAAGAATCAATGTCATAAATTTTATGTATTTCAAACTGTGAAATTTTATTAGATTTTGATTTCAATAGGTTTTTTTTAATGAATATTGTTAAAAAATAAAATTTAATAATGGCCTTGTAGATCCATAATGACTAAGGTTATCTAATTATTTATAACTAACTGCTTACCCTTAAAAATTATCTCTACCTGTTAAAGCCTTTCATTAATAAGATAAAACACAAAAATATAAAAATTTAAGTAAAACTTATTCTTTGCATTTAGTGAAACTTAAAATGATACAAAACAACTTATCACCTCTGGTGCTTTAATGGCTGATTGGAACCATGAAGTATATATTATCTGGTACATCCCCTGAAACTCTACACGAAGCTACGACACTAACTGCATCAAACAGAGCCTGACTAACATTCAACACTTGCCCAACCATGCCTAGATCAGCCCTTTCAGGTTTGTTCTAATCAGCTGGTCTCTCTCTAGACAAGCAGCAGCAGTGACAACATTCAGTCTTTTGTTATGAATCATGTTGATTATGTTCTTACATCTCGTTTTAACCTATGCCATGTGACATAAAATCTACCTGCCATTTACTAAATCTCTAGACTGACCAAGTATGTGACAAAATGAAGCATTAAAAAAATCAATATAAAGCTAACTGTTAGTAAAATGTAAATGTCACTTATCTTCTTTCAAATATGTCCAACTATTATAAGTGTAAAATATTTAATGCTACTTGATAAATTGCATAAAGTTTATTTTATTCTCAAACTTATTAATAATTATGTTAATTAATTCTTGTTTAGTAATAATGCATACTACTTAAGGATCTATTTTCTTTTTAGGATGGTATTACAAAAGTGAAATTCAGGCATGGATAATATTTTTAACTGAATTTATTCAGTTCCCATTTGCTCATAGGTCCTTAATTTTTTCATTAATGGTCCTTTAAAAGTACTTAATTTCCGTGTGCAGAAATGTGTACGAACCCTGAGATAGCTTACATATGGGTAATATTCAATACTGATGTTTTGGTTCTGTTGAAATACTGGTCACTTTCAGATTATTGTCTTAGAGAAGTAATTGTCTTGAGAGCATTTATTGTAATTCTGTATTAATGATTATGTGACAAATGCCATGTGAATTTGTGCCAGATTTCCACATTATATCATAAGCTTTTCTGGATATTATATACATTAATATCAGGTATCTAAAAAAGTTTGTGCTGTAGTTTTCAGTGCAAAATAATGATCTAGTAATTCTGTGCATCCTTCGACACTGGCATGTTCACTTCAGAACAACACGACTGACATGCCTTGCAATTCTGCATTGGGTGACTATTGATGGGAAGTCAATATTTGAAGTCATCCCAACAGGGAACCTTTTTTGAATACCTGATAGAATGAAGAAATACTTATATAGCATTACAAATTGTTTAAATCAATCAAATTTAATAAAAAATACTGATATCTTATCAAGTTTACATAGTTATCTTAGAAAAGCAGATTCCAGTCTTTTCTCTTCAGTTTCCAATTTATTTAAAGGTTTTATGTTATCATAAGAAAAATTTAAATATCAAATATATTTGTTGTTTCAGTGCATAATTCTTTTAAGTTTTTAGTACCGTATTTGACGGCATATAAGACGCATGTTTTTTTCCTATATTTGGTTTCAAAAAAGTTACCTGCTTCTTATACATGAAGAACACAGATTAACTTTCAATACTGAATGCTATTTTAGCCCGGATAAAGGTCTAGACACGCATAACTTTTTCTACATCTGCCATAATTATTTCGAGCATGCGTGAAATATCTGTCGCCAAAATGCACCAAAGCTCGAAGCTGATGTAGAAGTTTGAACAGGTTTGACGGTCACGTTACGTCTATGGAGCCTTTCCTTCTTTACATAGACATCCTTTGACTCATCTGACACACGTGTCGCTATTGGTGCTACTCTGTATAAATGTATCATTATCAGTGCTTAAAACTGTTTGTTTAAAAAATATACCCTGGAAAATATGACTACAGGAAACAAAAGATTAAGCTATACAATTCAGTATAAACTAGGAGTGTTGAACTACGCCAAAGTGCATGGAAACAGAGCAGCAGCAAGGCATTTCGGTTCACCACCTTCCGAAAAAAAATAGCTTGCCGTTTGTTAATTTTCCTTAATAAAAATATGTTTGGTAATTGCACTCAATGATTGTTTATTTGGCTTTTACGAAACGTGAGAACTAAAAGAAATGACATTTTAAGTTATTGTGGTACCGCGCTGTCACACGGACTATTGAAACTTTTTTTCCTTGTGTGTGGCCTTCTAAATAAGGGTGCATCTTATATGGCAGTGCGTCTTACATGCCATCAGATATGGTACTTTTTTTTATTTTTATTTACTTATTTATCATTTAAATAGAATCACCACAACAAAATATGCCAGTAGTCCCTGAGAGCAATATGGCAAGCGTAGATGATTTTGTGCCTGAAGATGCTGATCATACTTTTAACTCATTTCTGGAAGATTCTCCTAAAAATACAGCTTCAGAAAAAGTTTCTGATGTTCCTGAGCCAGAATCTGAGAGGTAACGGATTGAGCATATATATTCATTACTTTTTTCCCAGAACTTTTGCATTCCACTTGTACAGAATCTTAAGAAAATGTAATGTGGAAACACATTGGATATATTCATATTCAAATAAATGAAAAATTGTTATGCCTCACATTGCTTTCACAGGCAATTATAAAATTCTTGTTTAAATGTGAACTTTAATGTTTTAGTGTGAATGCATATCACTGGTATCTGATATTCCATGTTTGGAATATGTAATCAAATCACCAAATTTAATGATTAATACCATAATAACTTTTTTTGTTTCAATTTAATTTGATTATTGAGTACATCTAATTCTTAGTACACGTATTTTTATCTTCTTTTTGTAAAATGTAATTTAATTTAAAATATGTATTTTAATTTAATAAAATGCATCTTTTTGGCATCAGAGGACTCGGTTCTCAATTTTTTTTATCATTATTGTAGACATTTCAAACAAGGAGGTTAGAATAAATGGAGTAAGCCTTATATCTCCTATTCAATGAAAATGAAGCCATGAAACATCACGGTATGATGTCACGAGTTATCTTGGTCATTGCCATAGATGGACTTCTGATTGGTTTTGTTTACATTCCAATCGATGTTGTCTACATGTTTGCTGCTTATCATAAATTTAATACTTAACATAAATAATTTTCTACTTAGTGTATAGAAAAATCACAAGAACTGTAAATAACTGTTTCAAATTTAATAAACTCTAGGTATGTGAAAATGCATAAATAGAAACTAGAAGAGAAATGTATACAAGATAAAACCTAGAATATCAGTAAAGATTTGCTTTCAAAATTGGTGTCATTTTATTTAAAACTATATCTTGTATGTTATGCAACAGTATGTTTTGTTTACATACATAACATGGCGCCCATGACAAGTCATGGCAAATCGCCATGACATTGTTGACGTTTTCTTGGCTTCAGTTTTGTAAAGTATGCTTACTCCATCTATTCTAACTTCTTTGCTTTCAAATAAAAGGATGTTGACACCAAATGTTATCTGTATAAATTATTTTTAAAGAAGTATAGAGAGTATAAAAAAAAAAAAAAAAGGGTATATGGCAGCACTTCACACTGTATCAGGAATTCTAAAGAAGTGGAAGTGCTAAGAAAGTAATGTTAAAAAAAAAATCTGTGTTATTAATTAATGAAAAAACTCTTTTCTGTGTATGTACGTTCAACTTCTACAACAAGACATCAACCTCCTTCACCTATAGTTTACATATAATTTTCTACTAGCTTTAATTCTTTTTTTTTTAAACTGTCCCATTCAATTATCTATTCTAAATTTCTGGTTTTAATTTAAATTTTCTATACATTGTGCAATTAAGTGTCCAAATTCCAAATTTATGACATCTATGACAAGGTCCTATCTTTGTTTTCTCTATTTTTTCTTAAATTTAGGTTTACCTTCAGTTACGTTTCTTCCTGCATTTGTGCTAATAGTATTAAATACACAAATTCAATGAAACTTCTTTTTCCACCTGATCATGTGCATCTCAAAGCCCAAATGTTTAATGTTTTTGATTTCATATTTTGTATGAATTTAATGAATTTTTTATTAACAAAATCAGTGATTTGAAGATAAGTAGTGGCAACACTGCTCAAAATGAAGCATTTTCATCTTTTGCCTGCGTGATCCTCAGTAAATCTCTTACATGGAACCCACGCTTTACACATATTCTCAGGAAGTTTCGAGCTAGTAAAGCTTCACTCTTCCCCTTAATTGCTCGAAACAGTGTTCTATCTATTGATAATAAGTTGCTCATTTACAAAACCATGTCGCGTCCAATTCTTAGTTATGCATGCCTCGTCTGGGCATACTCGTGCAAAATTTTGAGAAGGCAGTTACAAGCTGCCCAAAACGGGGTATTGCGTATGATATGTAATGCCCCCTGGTACATTCGAAATAGCCAAATTCGTAAAGAGTTAAGAATAGAGGATCTTTGTGATTTTTATTGCCGCCTATCTAGGGCATTTTATGATAAACAGGAACTTCTGGACAATCCTGTGGTTGTTAACTATTGTTATGATACTAGGGACCCCAATTTCAGTAAACGCCCAAGGGCGATCCTAAATGTTAGTAATATGTAATTTTGTATATGTGTTATGCAAATTGTTGCTCAGATTCTTTATTGTATATTGTTCTTTTTTCCTCCTGATTGCATTTTGTTTTTACTAGTGGCAGTAAGGCGTCGCACTTCGTATTTTGTTTCTCTTGTGTGTACATGTATTCTTCTGTGAAATAGTTGTTAAAAAATAGTTAATTATGTATGAATTAGTAATTAGGTACTTAAGGAAAAAAATATGTATTTATTTAATTATTTCACACATTCAGTTATATTTCTCATAATTTGAAACTTTTATCATGTTATTCGATGAGGGGTAGGGCTATGCGCCCAGGCACCCTGGTGGTTAAGCACCGCAGTTCAATGTATGTATCCTTTGCCTGCCAGACTGTTGCCATTAGGCAAAATGTAAGATATATATTTTTCAATTTTAAACAATAAACTTCGTTATTTAAAATCATGTGCCAGCACTGTCTGAAATAAAGTACTTTTATTTTTTATCTCCCAATATATTTCAATTCAGTAAATTGTAAGTAAGATATATAGCTTTCAGATTTAATGTCTTGAGTATATAATATTTGAAAATAAGATATTTAACTTTCAGGTTTAAAATGCCTGTTTTCAGTAACAATTTGATGATTTAAAAGCCATAAACAGTTCTTAAGAATGCTTTTTCTTTTTAATTTGTTTCGTTTAAATAAAAATGCTTTAAAATCATGAGATGTCGAATTATAAATGTTAAATATTTTTAAAAATTGCACTAGCTGTGCTCAATAAAATCATTATATATTTTTTCTCTTTTATGATAACTATTTTAAGTGGTAAACATATAGCATAAACATATAGTAAAGGTAAAAAGACAAAAAAAATTGTGCAAATCACCATGTGAAGAAAATTGAATACTAGTATGAACTGAGAAAAGACATTATATATAAAAAAAAGTATTACGCAATTTAGCGCACTATCATGAATTCTAAAATTACGTTGCTTTTATTTTTTTCCACACTATTGAATTTTATGTAGTGTAAATGCAAAGAAAGCAATGCTAATAATACAACTAAAAAGAAAAGGGTTGTGTTAGCAGGAGTGAGACCTTCTGGTACAAAATTAAAATCTGAATCCTTTCAGATTTTCTTTCTTTTTGTCTGTACTTCAGAAAATATTTTTAGAATTTACATTTTCAGCAGAAGATGTTACGTATAATCACTTTTTCAATAATGATAAATTATTTTCTAAATGCATGTTTTTTTTTTTTTTTTTTTAAATCTCTTGAATAGTAGTTATGCTGGCTTAGTAACAAATATAATAGACTTCCTTTATTTTGTTTCACATAATTAAAAAAAAGGGGGAGTCGTTTTTTTCTTTTCTTTCTTTCTTCTTTTTTTTTTTACTTGAAATTTTTCTTTAAAGGTCTGATTGAAGTGCATTGTAAAATTATTTGATGCATTCCGAAGTGTAGTAAAAATTAATTTGGAGTTAAATGGATAATATAGTCTAGAAGTCATGAATAACGTTTAATTAATAAGCATTCCCTCAAACATTTTTGTGAGTTAGAGACATATTTCTTTCATGAAAGATCTTTAATTCATTTATCTACTGTATAAGTTTATTGAAAATTAATTGCAATTAGGCATATTTTATAAGTATTTTGGAATGAATATCAAAGTTTTTATAGAGATATTTTTAACATGATGAAAATACTAATATCCTCTTCTTAATGGAAGTGCACTTGCCTTTGCTATAATAAAAGACTCAAACTTTCTTGAATTTGGGGGGGGGGGAACTGAAGGAAAGTTTTGCTTTTAAGAGAAAGAAAAGAAAGTGAAAATATTGTTTAATGTTTGTTTTATGCAATGAAGAAAAATGTGAACTTATATAAGAACATTTTATAAAACTTTATAAAAGAAAGTCGTGCTAACAGTTAGTTTTCAAAGTTTAATTCTTTTTTATTCTCATTGGCACCTAAAATTACTCATTAAGATCAGAAGTTTATACATATTGATTGACAAGTGCCATTGTTTAAAAGTAAGAAGTTAATCTTAACTGTGAGCTTAGTGGAATTTGCATTTTCTTTTTGCTACTTTACCTGTGAAAATACTCTCCATTAATTGTGAAGGAACTACCATAAAGTGTTGATATGCCCAGCAAGTTGTTTAAGAAAGTTAGATATGCATTTCAAGCCCAGGTGGTTGTAGATTTCAATTGTAACCAAATTGGAATTATAGCAGCAATGCAAATCAAGGTTATTATTGTAACCAAATTGAAATCTTAGTCTGCTGTAGAAAGTTTTGTACAAGAGGAGCTTATTTTTTAGTTTGCTATGATTTTATGTTTTATAAAACTCAGTAATGATTGATAAAATTCTACTTAAATCTTATCTTTGTATTGTACTTTCTGCAAGAAGTTAAGCAGTACTAGGGATGATAACCAGCCAAGTATTAGATTAATTTATATAGATTGTCATTTAGTATTCAGATAAGCTTTAAGTTATAGAAGTTTATGTGGGATATTTTGAGTGTCTACAAAAAACTCTGTGGTTGAAAAAAAACACGTAAGTTGAAGCATTGAAGTAGTTAATTGTACTGTTATATTTTAAGCCTCTCGTACCAACTTTAGATAAGAGGAATGAAAAAGTATTCCTCCCTTTCCTACGCTGAGATAGATGACTAGGAAAGTTGTATTAATAGTGAACTAATCAACACAACAGCAATGGTTTTGACGGGTAATCAAAGAAGTAGATAATTTTAACAAAAGAATTGGAAATAGATTTCAAATAATTTCACAAAATTTTTTGCTTATTTAGTTAAAAGATAAAATTTATTAAGATCCTTCCCCCCCCCAATAAAAGCTAAATGAAATAACTTTTCAGCCAAAAGAAATTTCATTTTAATTAAATTTAGAGGTTTTTTTTTTAAATAAATCTGAAATTTAAGAAATACGTAATATGGTGCATGAACAATTTTTTTGAAAATGTTATGATTAGATGTAGAAGATGGCTTGACAATTCTTCTCATGTATTTTTATCAAGAGTGCACAAGTCATAGATAACTAGCTGCAATTAAATAATTTTAGCCCAAAAATTATTATATATATATATATATATATACACACATATATTATTATTAATGTTTCATGTTCAAATTTAATTTGGTATTTTCTGATTATCCATACACTCCCCAAAAAGTCATGAAAAAGTATTCATGAGGCAGAGCAGTTTTTTCCCAGTTTATTGCCACAATAATCATGTGGTAACCCACAGTGTCCCCAAAAAGTATTTATGCAAACAACTTGTGTATCCACTTAGCACATGTCTAATCTGCAGTGTCACCCAGAAGTATTTATGTGATAACCTGTGTATTTCCTTAGCATATGTCTATTTTCATTGGTATGCTATGCTAAATCTGTATGATGCCGCATTTGTGCAAATCTGCTGTTTTATAAGCAAAACCAGATTGCTGTGTGCATGGAGAGAAGAGCAGCATAAAAAAGAAACCCAGGTAGGCAAATAGCCCTTATCTGTTGGCTAGTGCATAATGCCAAAGTTGTGTGATGCCAAGTTTGTGCAATTCTGTGATGTTTTTGAAGGGGAAGGAAAAATAGATGTCATGGGAAAACAGTGCAAGCTAGAAAGATTTCTCAGAAAAAGGTAAATGTTTACCAATGTTTCTAGCTTTTTAAATTTTATTGACTGACTGCCCTCGTATAGAATTTTTAGTGTGCTGGTTTTTGAAAATGGCTGTTGTCTTTCATGTGTTAGCTTAGTAAAAAATTAGTCACCAACAAGTTTGCAATTACTCTTCAAAATTGTCAACAAGTGCATAAAATTTTTGTGCGGGTGTAGATAATCAGAAGATAACTTTATATGCTTGAACATTGATGTTAATAATGGAAATGATCATTTTCATATGTGTTTTAAAGTTGTTTAGTCTTAGGCAATGACTTCGGTCTTTTTGTTCGTAGTTCCATGGTTTGTAATCTCTGTGTGTAAGATTTTAGTTTTTTGTAACTTTTTGTCTGGTCATTGGAAATAATAATATATAGAGAGAGTTCTTTATTCGGTAATTTTTTTATTAGGCCATTTCATAAATTGTAGCTGTATACTCGTAATTAAATAATCAGAAATGATGTAATCAAAAATGAAAATTCTGTTATTTCTTTTATTTATTCATTTTTCAGATCGTACATAAAACGGCAATTTTGTTTTCAATAATCATATAGTTATTGTGAATGAATATGTTTTGAGTTCATTAGGATTCAGTGACATCATGTTGTAACAAACATGAAAAGTAATTAACTTATTCACTTGTATATTTTTCCTCCTAGTTTTTTCAGCATATCATTTAAAAATGTTTTAGTTATGGTATCAATGTAAAATGTATGCAAAAATAGGAAATTATTTTGTATAAGTAAAACAAATATTATTGAAATTGAGAAATCCTTTGAAATAACTAATATCACAAATTTAAGCTGTCTGTTATTAGAATTTAATTATTAATTTTAGTGAAGAAGATGCTGTCAATCCAATGGTAGCTGGTTTTCAAGATGAGATAGATCCAGAAGATGTTGCTGTTAATATTAAGGAAACTGTTACTCCTGACTTTCATGACATCTCTGATCACAGTAGTGATGCAGAAAAGGAAGATCGTGCAGTTAACAGAAATAAGGGTAGAGACCACAAAGATATTTTTGCATTATATCTTAATAAGAAATCACGTCTAGTGTCTGATTTGAAATTTCCTAAAAATTTGGAGTTTGAGTTTTATAACATTAGAAATATTTTTAGTTCAGTACCTTATGCTATCTGTGTACCATGGCTAGCATTATAATAAACAAAATCGAAGGCCTTTTACGTATCATATAACCATACAGTCATTAAGTTTTCAAAATGTTGCCATGCAGCAAAGTATTTTTAATTTGTCTTTCAAATTTAATCAGTCTATAATTGATGAACAAAGTCAACAATTGAAATACAATACTCACAGTTCTTAATAATTTTATATCTTTATTTTTAATATAATATATCTAACACATTTAAAAAAGCATATTTATGTTACATCCAGTTGATAATTTTTATGAACACTTGCAGGGTTACTGTAATTAGTGACAGCTGTTTCTAATGCCGTATTAATTTATTATTATTAATATGTATTTGGTTTCTTTTAATTTTTTTTATTTAGTATTAATTTTGTACTCTGTTTTGTCTGTTTTTCTTGCAGAGAAATCTGAGCCACGACCCTCTTCTGTTTTAGAGGTAAGCAAATATTATTGTTTAATAAATATTTTAAGCAATGAAAGAAACAGAAATTCTGTAACTAATTTACATAACATTTAATGTAGAATTTTTGAACTTTTAAGGAATTGTTATACAATTTACCGTGGCTCCTATGGCCTGGTGTAGAATCGAGTACAGAATGTATTTTGTTTTGATGCATGTTAAGGGTATGTGCATAATACATCTCTTTTTTTTTAATCCAGTACATTGTTCTATAATCTGCTTGTGAACTCCCAATTAAAAAATTAAAGGAAATCTATTGACATAATTATTTGCATCCAGTTTTCTCCCCAAAATGTTTGGTGGATGCCCATGTTCAGGACACAGTATGAAAAACTAATTTTAGTGATTAGATAACTTACTATGTATATGTTATGCAAATTGTATGTATGACAGATAAAAGTTGGTATGGAGGAATAAAAGAAAGTTGTACAGTGCTGGTTATTACCAGCGTATCGAATATTTTATTAAATATTCAAAACGCTGAGAAGTAGACTGCATACTTCTTGCAAAGTTTCTATTTTGAAGATAATGTAGATGGCCAAGATTCTTTTTTTGTTTTATTCCACTGTTATATATTTTTCCTTGGAAGCTCTTAGTTGAATTTTATGTAGTCATAAAAGTCATGAAATGAATAATTCACCTTCACGTTTAATCCTTCAGGATGACTGTGTCATATAAGCATTCACAGCCAACTGTAATCACAGAACCAGGTGTGTCATATATGAATCACCGTTTAAATGCTTGTACCACTTACAAATTTTTAGATAGAACATTTAATTACAGTCAAAAGTCGTTAATCCGGACTCTTCGGGACTCGGCGATTCCGGATTATCGATTTTTCCGGATTATAGATCATCAGTTTAAATCTGGTAAGATGGCATGCAGAAATTACAAAATTAAAAATATGAAACCATAATTTATGAAATAAAGAACAATTATGATCTAAAGGGTATCAAAATTTACAAAAAGAAAAAGCTTAATATTTATTTGTTTACTTTATTAAACATTTCTGTCAATGTAAGTTGTTTAAGTTGCTTCGTTTCATGTGCTAATACTTTCTCTTTAATTCTATAAACAGACATAATTTCTTGTTTAGTTACAAAGTTCCGCTGTTCAAGTCCTATAATTGCTGTGTTGAGAATACCGACTAATTTGTCAATCGAAATTTTTTCGTTTTCAATAAACCTCTGGGTCACTTTCTTCACTATCGGAAGCGAATTATAATGACGAGGAACTTGATTTAAATCGTATCAAAGACGGAGTACATCGAGATGAAATACTACCTTTAGTAAGGAATTATAAGCCAAATAAAATAAAAACATCCTGAAGATAAGGATAGTGCTGACAGATCAGCTTCCAATTCATTGCACGCCACGGCGTGAAATTGATAAACAGATTTCGGATTTCGAAACATACTTTCGCTTTGTAGATCCTTTACATATTAGTAAATATATATCGGAAATTCTATTTGACATAATCGAAAGTTAAAGCTTACTTTTATAAAATTGCTCTAACAGACTGCAAAAAATAATAAGCCGATCCAATTCGAAGATTAAGGAACAATGCAATCTGCAACATTGGTAGAATTAGATAATTTTGGCTTAGCTTATACCGACCGTTACACATTAAATGCGCATGCGCACATGCATATTCGCAGCCTTAAAGGTCTTACGCACACTCGTAAACGCCTATGCGCATACGTGAACGCGACACATGCGCAGAAAGTTTGTAGCTTTGAGGTCCAGATTATAGATCATTCCGGATTATGGGTGTCCGAATTAACGACTTTTGACTGTAGTATCTTTATTTTGGGGGGACTAGATGTAGCCCTGTGTCTGTTATGGTGGAATTTATAGAGAGTAGAGAACGTTCACCCTCATTCTGTTACAGTATTTTTAACTTTTAGTCTTTTATTTTAGAATGAAAATGGAAATTGTGGTTGAGTAATGTAAGTAAATAGAGTTATTAATTGCGTGAGCTGGTACAAACACATGGAGATGTTCTCGATGCTTCTGAACACTTTTCTTTATTTTTGATGATATGGGGATATATATTGTATTGTTTATTTACTCGTCTTAGAGTTTGGCTGGAAAATATAATGATAAAGTTTTCAAATTAATTCTTACAACTATGTGAGTGTTCCTCTCATCATATGCTAAAAATTGGTGCAATTGTAAACGCCTATGCGCATACGTGAACGCGACACATGCGCAGAAAGTTTGTAGCTTTGAGGTCCAGATTATAGATCATTCCGGATTATGGGTGTCCGAATTAACGACTTTTGACTGTAGTATCTTTATTTTGGGGGGACTAGATGTAGCCCTGTGTCTGTTATGGTGGAATTTATAGAGAGTAGAGAACGTTCACCCTCATTCTGTTACAGTATTTTTAACTTTTAGTCTTTTATTTAGAATGAAAATGGAAATTGTGGTTGAGTAATGTAAGTAAATAGAGTTATTAATTGCGTGAGCTGGTACAAACACATGGAGATGTTCTCGATACTTCTGAACACTTTTCTTTATTTTTGATGATATGGGGATATATATTGTATTGTTTATTTACTCGTCTTAGAGTTTGGCTGGAAAATATAATGATAAAGTTTTCAAATTAATTCTTACAACTATGTGAGTGTTCCTCTCATCATATGCTAAAAATTGGTGCAATTGTACTACAAATTGAATTTATACAATTTTTTTTTCCAAAGTTAAGCTTAGTAGCACAAATTACCCATCCCAACAAGATGTTGCATCATGTCAGCTCTACTGTCCCAAGACAGCTGATTGGTGACTGAAGTGCCCATCCAGAAAGGGTTAGCTATTCCTTTAGTGTTGATGCCTGTAATGGAATTCTTTATGAAGATTATATATTAGTCATAGTGAAAAAATCCTTTTGCTACAGCTGATGTATTTAGCAGCAAAACTTATTAATATCCAGTCATTCTCATTTGTAAATACCAAACATTTTTTATATCAGATTGTCCAAGCTATTTCTGGTCGTCTGGTAACCCTATCAATATGGAGTTGTTAATTTCCAAAATGATAACTTTTATTTTCTGCTTTGTTCTTAAATGTGATCAGAATGGTTTAATAATAGGCATTGAACAGTGATCTCATTTCGTAAATTAGTTTTTGTATATCTGTACAAATTTCTTTTATTAAGGAATGGGACTTTTGCATTTGTTAGTACCCATAAAATAAGATAAATGTTTCAAATTTTAGCATACCTTGAAATTTTTTGATACTGTCTGATTAACTGACCAGCCCTGAAAAAATCACTGGGCAGTGTTCTATGTTACCAAAATAGCCACTCTAGAATTTTATAAAAATGTTAGCTTAAATGTTTTATTTTATGTTTTCTTCTTGTAAATTTGATGGCCAGCTGGAGGTAAACTGACATGGTTGCTGCCGATTGACTGATGATGTATTTATACTATGGAATCAGTGAACTCTGCTTTTGCTTGCTTCCTTTTTATTTGGCCTTTTTATTTGGTAGTTTTTATGTTTAAGAATAAAATAAATATCAGTTTTGTTTTTAGAAATGCTCCTTACTGAGTAGTACAATATGCTTTTCAATATATTGCTATACCTCCCATAGTGACAGGTTATGGGCCCAGGCAACCCAGTGCTATAAGATTACAAGTGAAGAGGGCTTCTGTCTATAGCAAAAGAAGATAAAGCTGGTTCAAAGTGTTATGCTTACGTATAACTGAAGATGTCACTGTTACCAGAAGGGTTTCAACTGTTAAACCATGACATCTGGGATCGATGAAAAGTCTAAAGTGCTGGAGATTATTAGAAGGTAGTGAAAAATTATTGGATAAAAGGTTTATTGCACACTGAGAGAAAATAAATATTCACTGCATTATACTATCGAAATAAAACAGAGTTCAGGTTATCTATATAAGCATGTTAAAGTGGGAAAGAAGTGTAGGAGGTTTTTGTTGAAGCACTTTGAACCAAAAACAAGAACAAAAGTAATCCAGCTATTGGATGAATTTTTCAGTAGTACGTATGCACCAGATGAAGAAGTGGGGTTATTCGTTGTGCGAGGATAAAAATGACTGTGAACAAACAAGTTGACTGAAGCTGGACACAATTAAGCAAATCTTCATAAAGGATTTCCGGCAATCCAGCATTTACCTCAAGAATACTCCAGGATAGTGCAGCTGATATATAGGTGAAAAGTTGAGGATTTTATGTTAGAACCATTAATAAGCATTAATAAGGAACACTGAAGCATTAATAAGAAAAGAAAGTTGACATTGTGAAGCAATCTCCAATTTAGAAGCCAGCCAAGTAAGTTAATTTAATACTATTAGAACAAATGCAGGAAGAAACAGAACTGAAGGTAAACCTAAATTTAAGAAGAAATAGAGTAACAAAGATAAGATAGGACCTTGTCATAGATGTCATAAATTTGGAATATGGACACTTACTTGCACAATGTAAAGAAAATTTAAATTAAAACCAGAATTTTAGAATAGATGATTGAAAGCGACATTTTAAAGAAAAAGAATTAAAGCTAGTAGAAAATTATGTGCAAACTCTAGGTGAAGGAGGTTGATATCTTGTTGTAGGAGTTGGTTAAAAAAAAATTGCATTACATTGAGATGAACTATAATGCTTTTATTTCTACTAGAATACTCCAGGTTACATGGGGTTTCTTCCCCAGCTTTACACTTCTCGTAACAGCTATATACCACAGTGAGATTAAGCTCCAAACAGATGGTTCTCTTGGCACCTCTCATTCATTCTTCTCCTTCACTGCAAGCTTTGCCCACACCACACACCCCAGTGTTTCTTTTTTTGTAACCATATATAACAGAAAATCTCCTGACACTGCTTATGATGCAACATATTCATTTCTTGAACCTATTAGGTTCAATAAAAAGAAAAAGTGAGTTAGTGAAGATTAACTCGCACACAGTTTATAATTCCATGTAAACATAAACGTTTAACAGTTATGTTCCAACATTA